AATGCTTTGGCTGTTGGTGTCTTTGCATATGGTACACGCCTTAACTGAAAATCTGTGTGTATCAGGTAGATACTTTGTTCATGGTAAGACGCCCTTGTTCTCTGATAACACTACAGTCTGTTATGAAGAATAAAGCCAGCAGTGTGTTATTTCATTTAAAAAATACTGCATATTTTGACCTTGAAACAGCACCTTAGCTAACCCCATATAATATGCCTATTGGAGTCGAAACATTGGTACTGGGTGGCATAGCTACCCGGATCAGTGCCTGGCCTGGGGATAAGGTTGTACTCTTTGTTTTTTAGGGAATCTAAATGGGAATCTAACTGTGGGTAGATATGTGGCTTGATGAGGTGCATGGCACACAGACTGACAGACTGGCTGATAGCTATTGGCTATTGAGAGTAATTTACTGCTGAAATAAACATAGGCACAGGAGGAAATGTATAGGTTCCCGAGTTGATGGATATTTATTGCCATAAGGTAATATTTTCTTTCCGTTTAGTTTATCTTGCCTCAGCTGTTCTGTTGGTCCAGATAAATTGGTTCATTTTTTTCACGTTCACTTTTTTAAATACAAATGTTTGTGATTTCTTTGAGTGTTTTATTTAGCTTAGCTCTTTCACTTCTTTCTAATGTTTTATAGCTGTTTTTCTCAGGCTAAGTGGCTCACTTGGAGAACTCAACACTAGAGGAGTGGCCCTCATGGAACGTGGGCCAGCCACACTCTGCTGGTTACCACACTATTTACCGTAGCCAGTAAAACATAGTTGGAACTTTCTAGGAACGTTGTGATAGCATATGAGAACATTTCGCTGATGTTAGGGAAATGAAGTTGTGTTCGTATGGGTGTAGTAACTGGTTTTTGGTCTCTAGAGAAGACTTCCATTGGCCTCTCACCGCTCTCTTCTTCTCTTTCACCCAATTCCTTTGAAAACCTTCTTTCCTGCTTCCCTCTTCTCTCATTCATGGCATTTGGTCTCCAGAGTGCAGTGGGAGCGAAGGTTTATCTGGCTTAATTCGTTTATTCGTTTCTTTCCGGACCTTTTTCCTCAGAGTAGATTTTATCACATTTGGTTGTTTTTTTCCCCCTCCTACAGCTGCTGTTATGAATGAACCCGCTCAAGGTCGTTTGGTCAGTGTGCCTGTCAAGTCTTACAGAGAGCTCGCACATATTTTCCTTATCTCAGAGAAAAATCTAGAAGTTGTTGACTCTCTTCAACCCAACACCCCCCTCCACTCCCTCTGTTCTCAAATCCCCATGGAGACAGAGTAGAGTGGGAGAGCGTAAGAGAGAGAGAACCTTATGTCCCCTACCGCAGAGCAGACACCCACAGCATAATCCTTATTTTCCACCACGACAATCACAATAATGACCTTAGCCAGGGCTCATTGATAGAGAGATAGAACCAGACAATGGCAGGCAGTTGGAGGGTGTGTGTGTGTGTGTGTGAGGTGGTTTTTGACAGCCCTTTGGCCTCTCCTATATCTGAGCCCCTGGATTAGAGAGCTTATAGGTGGATGCCCAGATGTTTGTGAGGTGTGCTTTAACTAAGGTGACATCACATCAGTGATCGAGTATCTGTGTGGTCTTGCATTACTGGCTGCAGAGGATGCAGTTGTATCTGTGTTTGTTTGGTCAGTAGAGTACAGGATATAAATTAATGTTTGTTTTAGCTGCCCAAGAATCTTCAAACTTCATTTCTTGGAGGCGTTGGCATTTCTGACCTCCATGATGCGTTTCACAATGTTTGAAATGTGTGTATGACACGCCCCCCCCCCGAACCTCTGGACTGCTGTCTGCCCCAGGGCCTGTCAGCTTCCTCCTGTATCTGCTCACACTGGAGGGGAGTCCGACCGCAAAAGAAACACAGTGGAGAAAAACATGCGCACAAACGCACGCATGCACAAAAAAGTGCACACACACACACATAAACACAAAAACACATACAGTACCAGTCAAAAGTTTGGACACACCTACTCATTCAAGAGTTTTTCTTTATTTTTACTATTTTCTACATTGTACAATAATAGTGAAGACATCAAAACTATGAAATAACACATATGGAATCATGTTGTAACCAAAAAAGTGTTAATAAAATAAAAATATATTTTATATTTCAGATTCTTCAAATAGCCATCCTTTGCCTTTATGACAGCTTTGCACACTCTTGGCATTCTCTCAACCAGCTTCACCTGGAATGCTTTTCCAACAGTCTTGAAGGAGTTCCCACATATGCTGAGCACTTGTTGGCTGCTTTTCCTTCACTCTGTCGTCTGACTCATCCCAAACCATCTCAATTGGGTTGAGTTCGGGGGATTGTAGAGGCCAGGTCATCTGATGCAGCACTCCATCACTCTCTTTCTTGGTAAAATAGCCCTTACACAGCCTGGAGGGGTGTTGGGTCATTGTCCTGTTGAAAAACAAATTATAGTCCCACTAAGCCCAAACCAGATGGGATGGCATTTCACTGCAGAATGTTGTAGTAGCAGTGCTGGTTAAGTGTGCCTTGAATTCTAAATAAATCTCTGACAGTGTCACCAGCAAAGCACCCCCACACCATAACACCTCCTCCTCCATGCTTTATGGTGGGAATACACATGCAGAGATAATCCGTTCACCCACACTGCGTCTCACAAATACACAGCAGTTGGAACCAAAACTCTCCCAAGTAGGTCTCTTCTTCTTATTGGTGTCCTTTAGTAGTGATTTCTTTGCAGCAATTCGACCATGAAGGCCTGATTCACACAGTCCTTCTGAACAGTTGATGTAGGAGATGTGTCTGTGACTTGAACTCTGTGAAGCATTTATTTGGGCTGCAATTTCTGAGGCTGGTAACTCTAATGAACGTATCCTCTGCAGCAGAGGTAACTCTGGGTCTTCCATTCATGTGGTGGTCCTCATGAGAGCCAGTTTCATCATAGCGCTTGATGGTTTTTGTGACTGCACTTGAAGAAACTTTTAAAGTTCTTGAAATGTTCCGTATTGACTGACCTTCATGTCTTAAAGTAATGCTGGACTGTCGTTTCTCTTTGCTTATTTGAGCTGTTCTTGCCATAATATGGACTTGGTCTTTTACCAAATAGGGCCATCTTCTGTATACACCCCCCCCCCCAAATGAACTTTTTAAGAAGGCACACCTGTTAATTGAAATGCATTCCAGGTGACTACCTCATGAAGGTGGTTGAGAGAATGCCAAGAGTGTGCAAAGCTGTCATCAAGGCAAAGGGTGGCTATTTGAAGAATCTCAAATATAAAATATATTTTGATTTGTTTTACACTTTTTTGGTTACTACGTGATTCCATATGTGTTATTTCATAGTTTTGATGTGTTCACTATTATTTTACAATGTAATAATTTTTTTAAATAAAGAAAAATCCTTGAATGAGTAGGTGTGTCCAAACTTCTGACTGGTAGTGTATACTGGCGAGCGAGTTAGGCTGCAGGAGAAACACACATAGGGTCCCCTCATTCTGGGTTTCAAGCTTTGTTGTTGCATGTCTGGTTTGTTTTACAGAACCGAGAAGAGGATGCCATTTTAGCGAGGGGTTATTAAAGCAGGGAAATGGGCTGTTGATCTTTTTGCCTTTTTAGTTCCTTCTGCGTGAATCACACTTTGGGGAGAGAGGGGAAGAAAAAGAGAGGAGAAAATGAGAGAGAGGGAAAGAGAGAGCTAGAGGGAGAGGGAGCATCTGCAGCCATCTGCGTTTGCACAAAGAGTTGGTTACTGTGGCAACAAGTAAAAGGTCATTATGTCTAATTGACACTTGCTGGTTCAGGTGTTTTCAATTGTGTCGTTTGCCTTTCTCACTGCAGAGTGACTCATCGTCTTCTTTGGCTCCTCTCCTCCGTAAATACTTTTTTCAAAAAAAAATCATCCCTCGCTTTCTGTGCACGGCGTGTATCTTTTGGCAGCGCAGAGTGCTTTAGGGCGTGGGTCCCTCTCGTCTCTGCCCGTGAGGTCCCCCGCCCCACTGCCTCTGCTGTGTTATTCATCAGAAGGAGAGAGAGTGAGAGAAAGGAGAGAGAGGAGAGAGAGAGAGAGAACGGTTACACCCGTTCCTGGTTCAGGAGCTTTCCTCCACCATTAGCCAACCACAAATGCTAAGTGTTTACCAGAAGCCTGTATTAACCCTCCTCCTCCCACCACTCTCACTTTCTCTCCTCTCTCACTGTCTTCCTTTTTTTTCTTCCTCCCTCTTCCTCATTTAGTCTTCCTCTGTTTTTTCCACTTTCTTTATGCATCTCCTCTTGCCCTCTTTCCCTCTCATCCTATGTCCTACTCCCTGTATCCTATGTCTGGTACATCATGTATTGGGCCTGCCCTGGTTGTGTATCAGAAAGCTTTTAAAGCCCAGTGTTGTGGACTAGCTTTGTGACTCCTTCAGCAGGCTCTATTAGCCATGCTTAGAGTGGAGAGAATGGAGTAGAGATTGGAGTGGAAGTGGTGCCTCTATTGCTTCCTGTTCCATTGACGGCAAAAGGTAACACAGGATGGCAGTTCTCCAGGCTACCATGTTGGCGTCCATAGCTCTCACATACAAAAAACATTTGATATGCACATACACACACCCAACCCCCTTTCCCTCCCATTCATCTCTTTCTCTCTCTCCCCCATCCCTCGTTCCTGTCATATTCTACTTTAATTGGTCTCGGGTGAAAGTAGATTTAACTTCTTCCCAGTACAGGACCTCCTGTGTGTGCACGTGAGTGCACCAATTTTTCTTTATGGGAGGCAGAACGGTGCATCACACCACACAATTTCAACTAATATAAGGTGTGTTTGTCTCTTTATTGAAATATTATAGCCTACATGTCAATTATTTGCAACACTGAGAAATAACATAAACATATAAAACTTAGAGTGGCATAATTCATATCTTCAACAAAATTACATATTTATTCAGAATTTAACTAAAAGTTATGCTACTCTCACGTGTTTTCTTGGAATTTTAGATTTCTTATAAAAATCCCTCAGGATGCGCCCCATTTCAGCTCTCATGACCTCTCATGAGCTTGAACGCTGAAAGAGAAAACGCTAAATAAGTATGTTTTAGGTGAAAATAATACATAATGCACCATTGGTATAGGCTAGGTCTACTCCACCCCTCTCAATTGTTTATTTTAAACACAGTTGACAAAAAATTGCAACCTATGGTTTACCTGATGTGAAAGAAAGCTGTCCAGCTGTTTGAAGTAGTTAACCATATCTCCAATTGGAAGGTTTTAACGCAGGCACATGTCTCTGACCTGAAATGGTAAACAACATTAATATAAATATCTATATTAATATAATACCAAGAACGTACACATTCTGAATAAGGCATGTTTTGTCTAGCAAGAAGGTCTTGGAGCTCCCTGAGTTTGATGTTATTCCATTTCACAAGTGTCATATTTTGTTGGAAGAGTTCGCCGGCTAGTTGAAACGCAAGGCTCCGTGTCCAAAGCTTTCCCCCACCTGTAATCACAATCACACCCTGTGTAACCATGCAATTGAACCAGACTAACAATTCAATTGTAGCCACTCATGATCTCTTAAGCATCACCTCTAATGAAGCGTTGGACGTTGGACCATTATAATTTCCACCTCTTGGATCCAGCCTCTTGGTGTCCTCTCCTATACCATACACAAAAGACACCATATCTCAATAAAATAGCTGAATATTTGAATGAATCTATGGATAACATAATTGCGTCTGTCAAACAGGTAGGCCTACCCCTTATTTATTTTTAATAGGAAGAAATAGACTCCAACAAAGCCCTGTTGTAGTGAAGTCGAATTAAAATGAAGACAATTGTTTAAATTAATTAACTTTCAGCACCATTTTCAGTCCACCTCAGTTTGAGTATGCCGCAGCTGCTCCAAAGCTGATGTCTGTCCACTTGCCTTTTTAGTTGACTTTCTCCTGCACTCTCTCTCCTCATTAATAAGTTAATGATTTAAAAAGTGTCTGTCTCGTGACTGTAATACCTTTGGTCTTCAGAAAAAACACATAGGCTACTACTCCTTTCTACTGTAGGCTACGTCATGTATCTTAAATTATTTTGATGGAGCGTTGGTGGTGCGCCCCCAGCTTTGCGTCTCTCCAACAGCACCCTGGAGAGGCATGGACAAGCTAAATATTTTGCTCCCCTACCTTTGGCAAAGTGGGCACTGCTTATCATGGTATGGCATCAGCCCTCACCTAAATAGCCCTCATGCCACTGGGTGAGAGAAGTTATGATTGTTTTTGGGCTGAATAATGTGAGGTGCTATGTGTTGTTGGAGATGCGTCTTGGATCAGTTTAGCTCGGAAAATGCTGCCCTAGTAAAACTGGCGCCCTAGGTGGCTGCCTAATGGGCTGGCCAGCCGTGGGACCTAAACATAGAGTTATATTTCGAATCCCTATGAATTCAATAGCATTTCCAGCCTTCAAACAGTGGTGAATGGAAAGAGACATCTGTTACACAAAACACCAAAAAGTGTAATTACATTTGGCGATTGTCATGAGGCCAGAATGAATGCCTCCACTGCTGTCCTCGCGTCTCTTTGTCAGCCACTCATCTCTGCCTTTGCAAAATGTCAGTGTTCTCGTCGAACCACATCGCAATTTGGAGCGTAGGCTATACCACACGTTTTCAAGTCCATTCTCTCATTTTTCATGCCTCTGACATACGGTAATGACAAATAATGGTGTAATAGCCTACAGTTTTCTTGACATTTTGTTTGAATTATTGTGATAAGCTCATGTTTTACCGGTACTGCGTACTCTCACTATCTCTTTTGCTGGGACGCCGTACCAGACCGTACCGCATTACTTTCCCCCTTGGTCTCAGGATTCAGTAGTGCATGAACGTTTCTCTTGATAATACACTTGATCTAAAACGCTCCCATTTTAAGTAGAGGGCATGATAGTTGTGTGGGGGCTTGTGTGTGAGCAAGTGTGAATCTCGGGTATCTTTGCTGGAGCATATGGTGTGCCATGAGTGTATGTGTGAATCTGTGTGTGTGTGTGTGAAGGCCATCTGTCACCTAGCTATGGGTATTGGGTACAGAGCTCTCTCATTGGTGTTACTCTATAAAGCCTCCCCCAGGACTTCACAACACCTGTTTGGTTCCCATAAAAGGTTGTAGGTTCCAGGTCCAGGCAGATTACTGCTTAGTAAGACTCCTAACCTAGATAGCAGCTGTGCGTGTGCTGTGGTGAATATGCATGGACACTTTGTGAAAACCGCCTAGCGATACAAGTCATTCTGGCAGGAATGCACTAAGCTAATCATAATATTTCAGCAGCTTTCTTTTCTCGAACCAGCTGGGAAATGCCCCTGACAGCTCTCATTAGCCCCGACTCTGTTTCAGTTTGACATCTCTGCTGCTAATAGTTTGGGTTAGCATTAGATGTGGATCAGCAGGTCTGAGGTCAGCGTTTGACATTGGTTCAGATGTAAGCAGAGCCTCAGCATTGTGGGGGGTATAGAGGTACACCCCCTCTACAACACCTGTGTTGTCAGACCAATTACACAAGCAATTAGCCTGCAAAGCTCTGACAATCCTGTGGGCGACTGGCATCTAGATGGGGAGATATAGCTACCCAAAAGGAGGAGGGGGATGCTGGGGTATTTACTGTTCTCTGTGTGTGTGTGTGTGTGTCTCTCTTTTGTACACATTTTTTAATATTATTAAATTATATGCCATTTAGCAGACACTTTTATCCAAAGCGACTTAGTCATGTGCGCATACATTTTTATGTCTGGGTGGTCCTGGGGATCGAACCCACTACCCTGGCGTTACAAGCGCCATGCTCCACCAATTGAGCTACAGATTGCGCTACAGAGGACCACGTTTTCTATGTGAGTGTGAAAGATGCGTGCCTGTGTGTATTATTATTTATCTGTGCCTGTCTGTCTGTGTAGTGCATGGTTTGTTTGCACTCCGTGTATTGAGTTTAGCTTGGACGATTGCTGTATAAGGTGTCTCTTCACACTGCGTTTTGCCGACAACCCCTTTACTCCAGAGTGAGATCAGATGTGTGCTAATGCCAGCCCAGCGTCTCTGCTCGTCTGACAGGGACTGGGGTTGTAAGGTTAGGTAGGAAGACTCGCAGCTCTGCTAGGAGAGAGAGAGGCCTACAAATGACTCTTTGTCCCGGAGAACAGACAGTCATGTCTCTCTGACCTGCTGATGTATTGCAGCTGTTGATGTTGTTGTAGCTCAAACCTCTTTTACCATGTCGGCATGGGCAATTTGAGTGAATAGGAATGCTGTGTTTTAAACACACACTGCCCAGAGGATGGTGGGTAGCATGTTTAACGGGCGCAGTATGCAGTGGGATAATGTCAGCTGAAGGTCGTTGGGCTGTCGTTGTAGAGAGTCGCCTTGTGGCTAAACCAACGCTTTCGCCCTGGCACTCCTCTACTCACAGACGTGGTGTGTGGCCGGAGAGGGAAGGCCTCATCATTATAGAATGTGTTGTGTGGGTGGGTCTGTGGGATTAATAGCTGTCATCATGCATGTTCCTGACGCGTTAATTTTAGTTGTGTTATCGAAGAGGCCCCCTGATGCTTTGGAAGGGTTAAACTCTGTGACATCATCTTGATCTGCCCTGCTCAGTCTCTACCTCATTTTCCCCTCTCTCTCTCTCTCTCTCTCGTAGGCTATTAACCCTCTCCCTCCCTCTCTGCTAGGGCTGGGCGATATATATGTTTGTATGTTTTTGCGCGATATTCCAAGTGCCTGTGTCGCAGAATATATATATTTTTATCAACGTTTATGTCTGCTTGTTCTCATGTCTTATTCATCTCGTTCGCTCCTGCTGTGCTGTGCCCCTTCCCATTTACACCAGTTTCAACTCGATATTTGTATTTGAGGTTTGGTCCAACCGAATCAGTCATATGGACACCGAAACACACGGAGACATTATTTTACTGTAATAGAGGAGAAGGTAACCTTTCGAACCATACCCTGTTTATGTTTCAACTCCTCAAATTTCGAGCAAAGCAGACACTACTAAAACGGACGTACCAATGAACATTCATTCTGGAAAATGTATGTTCAGTTTGTCACGCGCGCATTACGGTACCACGTATAGCTAGCAACGTTTTAGTCAAACAAAGATTGTTATACTAGCTGTTTAGTCGGTGTTTTAGAAATGTGCAATAAGCATAACATAATTATATAAGGAATTGACAACTCGTTCTCATTCTGAGACATAAGGTAGGCCACTTGATTTGAACATCTGAACAAAGTGGACAGGCTAGCATGCTGTTAAAACAGTTGGAGACAGACAGAAGGTTGTGTTCATAACAATCAACTGTTTTGCCTTGTTAGCTGAATTCAGAGCTTGTGAAATGAAACCTTGATCCAAGTTGGCTAAACGTGAAATATAAATATTAGCTGGCTACTCACTAGCACGTGGTGCTTGAGAGATTGTTTATTAGACCGGTGTTCATTTTTTATAATGCCTGCTACGTTATTTTTGTATTTTTTGTATTATAATTTTTTTTAATTAGGGGGAGATCAGCTTTAATGTTGCAGATAGATTGTAACTTCCATCAATGTAATTGTCTGCATCACTTCCACCTGTGTGCAATCTAATCACCATGCTTGACCTTTGGTATGATGTTCTTACTGTGGAATGCAGAGTTTGGTTTTCGCCAGGCATTACTGGAAACATGTTGTCCAAAAAGTTTTATACTTTTGAATCATCTGTCCATAGATCATTCTTCCAAGAGTCTTGATGATCATCCAGGTGCTTTTTGGCAAACTTGAGTCAACTTTTTGGACGAGATGGGTCCCATTATGCCTTGGGAAAAACCAAACACTGCATTCCACAGTAAGAACATCATACCAAAGGTCAAGCATGGTGGTGGTGGTGTGATGGTTTGGGGATGCTTTGCTGCCTCAGGACCTGGACGACTTGCCTTAATAGAAGGAACCATGAATTCTGCTCTGTATCAGAGAATTATACAGGAGAATGTCAGACCATCCGTCTGTGAGCTGAAGCTGAAGCGCAGCTGGGTCATGCAGCAAGACAATGATCCAAAACACACAATCAAGTCTACATGAAAATTGCTAAAAAGCAACACATTTGAAGTTTTGGAATGGCCAAAAGTCCAGACCTAATCCAATTGAGATGTTGTGGCAGGACTTGAAACGAGCAGTTCATGCTTGAAAACCCACACATCACTGAGTTAAAGCAGTTCTGCATAGAAGAGTGGGCCAAAATTCCTCCACAGCGACGTGAGAGACTGATCAACAACTACAGGAAGCATTTGGTTGGAGTCATTGCAGCTAAAGGTGGCACAACCAGTTATTAAGTGTAAGGGGGCAATTACTTTTTCACACAGGGGAATTGGGTGTTGCATAACTTTGTTTATGAAATAAATGAAATAAATATGTAAATATGTAATTGTTGTGTTATTTGTTCACTTATGTTCCCTTTATCTAATATTAGGTTTTGGTTGAAGATCTGATAACATTCAGTATCACAAATATGCAAAAGTAGAGAAAATTAGAAAGGGGGCAAATACTTTTTCATAGCACTGTACACCTGTTCTGAAAGGCCCCAGAGTCTGCAACACCACTAAGCAAGGGGCACCACCAAGCAAGTGGCACCATGAAGACCAAGGAGCTCTCCAAACAGGTCAGGGACAAAGTTGTGGAGAAGTACAGATGTTATAAAAAAATATCCAAAACTTTGAACATCCACCGGAGCACCATTAAATCCATTATTTAAAAATTGAAAGAATATGGCACCACAACAAACCTGCCAAGAGAGGGCCGCCCACCAAAACTCACGGACCAGGCAAGGAGGGCATTGATCAGAGAGGCAACAAAGAGACCAAAGATAACCCTGAAGGAGCTGCAAAGCTCCACAGCGGAGATTGGAGTATCTGTCCATAGGACCACTTAAGCCGTACACTCCACAGAGCTGGGCTTTACTGAATAGTGGCCAAAATAAAAACCCATTGCTTAAAGAAAAAAATAAGCAAACACGTTTGGTGTTCGCCAAAAACCATGTGGGAGACTCTCCAAACATATGGAAGATGGTACTCTGGTCAGATGAGACAAAAATTGAGCTTTTTGGCCATCAAGGAAAAAGCTATGTCTGGTGCAAACCCAACACCTCTCATCACCCCGAGAACACCATCCCTACAGTGAAGCATGGTGATGGCAGCATCATGCTGTGGGGATGTGTTTCATCGTCAGGGACTGGGAAACTGGTCATAATCGAAGGAATCGAAGGGAAATTCTTGAGGGAAACAGTCTTCCAGAGATTTGAGACTGGGACGGAGGTTCACCTTCCAGCAGGACAATGACCCTAAGCCTATTGCTAAAGCAACACTTGAGTGGTTTAAGGGGAAACATTTAAATGTCTTGGAATGGCCTAGTCAAAGCACAAACTTCAATCCAATTGAGAGTCTGTGGTATGACTTAAAGATTGCTGTACACCAGCGGAACCCATCCAACTTGAAGGAGCTGAAGCAGTTTTGCCTTGAAGAATGGGCAAATATCCCAGTGGCTAGATGTGCCAAGCTTATAGAGACATACCCCAAGAGACTTGCAGCTGTAATTGCTGCAAAAGGTGGCTCTACAAAGTATTGACTTTGGGGGGGTGAATAGTTATGCACGCTCAAGTTTTCAGTTTTTTTTATCTTATTTCTTGTTTGTTTCACAATAACAAATATTTTGCATCTTCAAAGTGGTAGGCATGTTGTGTAATCAAATGATAAAACACCCCCCAAAAAATGTAATCCCAGGTTGTAAAGCAACAAAATAGGAAAAATGCCGAGGGGGGAGGGGGGGGTGTAAAAAAAAAAAATATATATATATATATATATATATATATATATATATACGTATCCTTTAAAAAAATAAATATTTTCCTTTATTACTTTCCAACCCCACCACCCCTCCCCTAATTGGAGTAAACTAGTGAACAACAACGCTTAGGCCTCTACTTCCAGCTTATACATACTATATACATTTTATGGACAATTTTACAGTAGTTCTGTTTTGTTTGTTTTTACTCCTGAACTTCCTCTAACCTCAACCTCTCCGATCATTTTCATGATGTCCATCCGGTTTGCTTCTATATGCCATATCGTTCAAACTGTGCTCTTTCACAAAAGTTCTTAACCTATAACCTATATACTTATTATGGACACAGTATGTTTTACATTAGTTATATTGTTGTTATTAGTTGTTAATAGTCCCAACCTTCAGCTCCATTCAACACCTCCCATCTATCTCTTAACACCATCCATATTGGATTTCTATTTGCCATATATTTTTCAACTGTACTGTGATGTTTCACAAAAGTTCTGAACTCTTCTATTCTCATTGTTTCCACAGATTGTAAATTGAAAATAAACCTTTATGTTAAAAGTATTATTATATTATTGATCGATTGACTGTGTATTTTCAGATCACCCAGTGCTATCTGCAGGGTTAGCTCCAGGTAAATATTGCAATCCTTCAGCCATTCCTGGACCTGTGACCAAAACCTAGCTACAAATGGACAGTACCAAAACAAATGATCTAATGATTCTGTCTCTTCGCAGCAAAATCTGCAGAGCTGTGAAGATTGTATCCCCCATATAAATAATATTCTATTGGTAGAAAGAATTTTGTATAATAATTTTAATTGAAAAATTATACGTTTTGAATCCGGCGTCGTTTTGCGTATCAGTTCATAAACCATTTGCCATGGAATCGGTACGTCAAAAATCTCTTCCCAACTATATTGCAATATATATGGGACGGCTGTCAATCCTTTGGTCCTTAAATGAAACTGGTATACTTTTTAATTCATCACAATTTTCTTTAACCAATTATGGTCTTTAATGTAATGCCTGCTACATTTTTAGTGAATGTGCATTATACATGGTTCTGGTTAAATTTGTATCAAAAAGGGCATTTTTATAGACCTGAAAGCCAGATCAGTGGTTATTGCAAAAAAAAAAGCACGTATAACTATTTTGATTAAATTATTAGTGGGTCTTATGGTTGTGGAAGGCTATTCAGCCAAGGTATAATTTCACGAGCTCTGAATTCATTCGATTATTGCTGACTGTTTTAAATGCAGTGTATTTGACCTTTAATTGTACAACAAAGCTTATTTAGAGAAAACATTTTAAAAATCTACATATATATCGTGAATCGCCCATAAATTTGAAAACATGGAGATATGAGTTTTAGGCCATATCGCCCAGCCCTACTCTCTGCTTCTCTCTGTGTTAACCAAACAATGGTTTCTCTATCATTTCCATCGATGACACCTTCCTTTTCCTCTATCCCTCCCCCTCTCCCTCCTGCTATGCAACAGTCATTCCCTCCCCCTTTCCCTCCTGCTGTGCAACAGTCATTCTCTCCCTCCTGCTCTGCAACAGTCATTCTCTCCCCCTCTCCCTCCTGCTCTGCAACAGTCATTCCCTCCCCCTTTCCCTCCTGCTGTGCAACAGTCATTCTCTCCCTCCTGCTCTGCAACAGTCATTCTCTCCCCCTCTCCCTCCTACTGTGCAACAGTCATTCTCTCCCCCTCTCCCTCCTGCTGTGCAACAGTCATCATCTCCCCCTCGTCCTTCTCTACGCCTCTCTCTGCTTTTCTCTCCATGTTTAACCAAACATTAACTATATTTTTCTCTCTAGGACCCTTTTTATCTCCTGCTCTGAAACAAAGCAATTTTCTCCTTTATGTCCCCCCCCCCCCCCCCCCCCCCCTTTTTATTATTTCCCCCTCTCCTTCCATCTCTCACTACATAAGAACACAGTGGCCTGCCCAAACACCAACTCTATCTCTCATGCCCCAGGCAGGGAGGAAAAGGAAATGACCTCACAGTGTGGTGTCTTGTGTGACAGGGCATCATGGCAGGGTAGAGCCCAATGAAATAGCTGCTGGACTTTGGTCTGGCAAAGGTCCCACAGTACTCAGCTAGTAAACAAACAAACTGCTAGCTGGGAGAAAAGCCACTGCAGAGAACTCCACTGTGAACCCTGCAAGGATTTGATGTATTACAGGCCTGTTTTATTAAGGAGTGTTAAAGCATTACAGAGCTTTTGTGTGTGTTATCCAGTGGTTTGACAGAGCATCCTAAGGGGATTTGGGCAGCAGATCTCTGGCTTGATGTTCCATGTTACGTGAGCAGAGCATCATATCATACTAATATATGCTGTGATCCAGGAAATGTGACAATGAAAAGAGCCCTGGTAATCCAGAGTGTGTGTAATCCCACTGAGATCTGACCATCCTGCCTGGATTGCTGCCCATGTGATGTGTGTGTACTGCAATGACATCGGAGTCAAGTGTGTGTGTGTGTGTGTGTGTTATGTCTCTCTCTTGCTCTCTGTGTGTGTGTGTGTCTGACGGTTAAGAGAATATCATGACAATAGTACAATGGTGACCTCCGGAATTTGTGAATACCTGACCTGTGCTGAGTTTTAGTGGTACATGTTTGTTTACTAGGAACAATTTGTGTGTGCTATATTTGGAAAAGTAGTCTGTGGTTTGTTTTAGTGTTTGCATGTGTACACTGCATTAGTGATAGAAACAGTGTTTGTGTACACTTCCTGTTGGTAAATGGAAGATGGATTCATTGCATTAGTGAAAGAGGCTAATGATTTCTGTTTTTGTTTATTTGTGCTTGTGTCACTTTATTAATGGTATTACAGTGCATTTGTATGTGTTGCACTGCATAAGTGTGGTATGTGTGTGTGTGTGTGTGTGGAGAGAATCCATGACCATTATGTTGAAGCAGATTACGATAGCACACAGGGAGTACATTCTCTGTTCTGGTTATGCAGAGCTGTCATCAGACACACACTCTGAATGTATAATCTCTCCCTTCTCTCCACACCCCTCCGTTCTTCCCTCCACCCATTCTCTATGGGAGAATCTCGCCTAGGCAGGAAGTGGTGTCCGTGTGAGAGTTCTCTTCCCCTATGCCCTCACTAATGGAAGGCAGGTCTCCTGAGAAAGACGGAAGAAGAAGAGAGAGAGCGAAAGAGGAGGGGATAAGATGAGGGAGAGGAGGAGGAGAGAGATGTATGGAGCGGATGAGAGAGTTCAAGTAAAAGGTGGAGAGAGATCGAGGGCAAGAGGGAGAGGGGGAAGGAAGCAGGGGGAGAAGATGGATGGATGTGAAGTAGTTTGGCTGTTAGCAGTGCATTAGAGCAGGCTGTGGGAGAGGGAGAGATGGGCCCAGAGAAGGCATCATTCTCAGTAAGGGGGTTTACCTCTGCTGCAGTGCTCTGTCATCATCACCATCACAGAGGTTATGATTATTTTATGAAATATGGTATTGACAATGACAACCCCCAGCCCCCGGATATATGAAAACAGCGTCAGCTCTTTCTCAGAAAACACTGCCAGAGTTTTCTCTTACATGTTTCCTTTATGCACAATCTAGTCAGTGTGCACTGAATAATTGTTTCCCTCTTAACAATCAGGCACAGCTCATAAAGATGTATGCCTTACATACATAGGCTTAGGCTAACATTGTCTTAGTTCTCATGGCAGTTGGTTCTCAGGGCTATGGGTTATTTGACAGGCCTGAGAAGACCCACTAGACTCAGGCTCAGAGTCAGGCTTTGTTGACAGTCTCTGGCTAAAGCCCTGTAATGAACCATTGGAATGCTTGGATCCTGTGGGCTTGGCCCTCTGGCTAGTTAAGGCCGTCTCTTCCTCCACTGCCCTCTGACACGCATGTTAGTAAACTTCACACCCTGGTGACCACTCTGCAGCACAGGTCCCTATCGTTCCTGTGCTTCTGATTATGAAGGAAGTGATGCGCCTCGCAAGGCATAGCCCCACCCTCAACCCTGAGGGGAGGAGAACAGCTCACATGACCCAGGTCTCTGACCTAGCGCACCCCTCCCCCACCCCCGGCTGACCCGCTCGCTCCTCCATGTATTTCTGGTGTCAGAGGTAGATAGAATGCAGGCCCTAACCTATCCCCTTCAACCAGGAGCTAGCAGTGGGTATGTGGCAGGACATGCGCACTAGACACACAGAGAGGCCTCAGGCTGCACTGGAACACTGTCTCTGGCTGGACAAACTGAAGCTGGATAGTATTTAGCTAGCACTGTACATTCTGTCCCTTACAGATAGCTTGGTAATCTATCGTGTCGTATGTACTCTTGCAGGTAAGCTTAAGGTAAAGCCTCAAGGCAATAGTTTGATTTATTTCATAGTTTCTGTTTACCCACTAACAGTTTCTGAAATTGTTTATGGTAATGGCAGTTATTGTCATTTAGCATGCTAATGTATCAGGGGCTATTTTCCTTTATCTCTGTGTGATTAACTGTCTCACAACAGTTTAGATAGTTCTAGTTGTTTACCTCACCTATCATTGGCCTGTCACTAGAGCAGCTCGGAAAACAGGAAAAATTGCATCACAACTGTTTTGTTTGGCATTCTTGTGGAGGTTGTTGCTGAACATTTTGCTGAAATACCGCTCTCAAGTATTGCGGCAGTAATCCTTTTGGCTATCAAGGAAGAGCTTGGAAACGTGCAGCTGGGACAAGTCAAGCAGATGTTAGCAGCACATCTCTGGGCACCTGCTGAACAGTTGGGATGGCTGGTCCTCAGTCCTGAGGGGAAACTATAGGAGAGGTCCCTTAATTTACACCAGTGACTCGCTCAATTCGTCATAAACCAACAGGCCAGGCTAACTTAGTCAATACACCTGACCCAAATGAGTGCATGATGATGTGTGATTACATGTTTAGTGCATGTGGGTCTAATCTGTGTGGTCACTGCAGCTGTCATGGTTATTTGTTAATGTAGCCTTTCCCATGGCACTCCAGCATGTTGCTACTGGTCATTTCTATGCAAAAGGATCAATGAGCACAAACATGTGAAGTTCATAGGAGCATGCCAAATTGGGTGTTAAATGAAAGCTAAGAGTCTTATCTTTTAGAAATTAAGTTTATATACATTTTCCATCCCAAAAATTAGGAATAAGCAAAGGCTTTGATTTCTGGTCAAACAGATGGAAAAAGGGTGTTAGAAAACATCTAGCAGAATAAAGCCCAAACAACTTTTTTACGCAAGTGAATGAGCTTGTACACGCTGGAATTAGAATGCACGGTGGTGAATGACAGAAAACAGATAGGCCGCGAGCGTCAATGCCGTCAAACGCGTAATGTGCTTCAAATTAGAAAGCAAGTCTAATTTTCTCTCGTCTTCGTGAAGCAATGCTGGTAAAGTTTGCGGATAAATTGCCAGAAAATAGACTGTTTGTGCATTGTTACGTCTGGAATTGTGACATGTATAGTTAAAAGTGTCTATTTAGGGTTGATACGTTTAGCTGCCAGTGCCAATAATACATATTTGAAAACAATAACTTTATGCCTACCTTTGTTGATTTCGAGCACAGACATATAGCCTAGGCAGGCTACAGCTGGGAAACGTGAGGAACTCCGTTCAAGAGAGAATGCTGTGTATGTAGAAAGAACGAGACTAGCTATTCTTTATAAACTGCTGGGGTGTATTAGCTACAACTCTCCTCACATTCTTGAGCCAACATAACAGGAGGCAGGTACGGTGGCTCCCGTAGGACATTTAAGGTGAGACAAAAGGAACACACACAAATAATTCACAAGGGCTACATAGCAAACATAACAAATACAACTGTTTATTATGGATTATCGTGACAATTAAGTTGGCATACGCTACGCAGTGTATGTGAATTGATGCTCTCTACTCTCGCGTGCAGATTTTGACTCCATTGATGGCGTCTTTTCTGTGTAATTTTGGCTTAAGTATTGAAAGTTATCAGAAATACATCAAAACACAATGTTGAAGAGCCCTGCCAACTAGTATCGACAGTTATATTTCATTTTGGATACATTTTTCTGCCTTCTGTAATTTTTAGAAATGATGTTACCAAAAACCCACATATCTTTAATATATTTTCAAATTTCTCTCCCTCATGAGGGAGAACTGACAAGTAAAGGTAGACCTATCAATTAGTTAGTGTTTTTACTGATATACATTTTGTTTATGAATTAACCAAGTCGGTAACGGAATTATCAGAAAAAGCTGAAACTGAATTTCTGCAATTTAATTGGCTACAATGGGAAATTATAGTAGTCACAAACCACAGTTGAGTTCACAAGTTAGTACTTTACTGTAGAGTTCAGTACAGTAAAGAAAATCAGAGTATAGTACAGTACTGTAGAGTACAGTACACAGTAGAGCACATTAGAGTTGAGTACACTAATGTCCTGCACTGAACTATACTCTACTTTACTGTACTGAAATACTCTACTGAACTGTACTGAACTCTACTCTGCTGTGCTGTACTGAACTCTGCTGTGCTGTACTGAACTCTACTCTGCTGTACTGTACTGAACTCTACTCTACTCTGCTGTACTGAACTCTACTCTGCTGTGCTGAACTCTGCTGTGCTGAACTCTACTCTGCTGTACTGTACTAAACTCTACTCTGCTGTACTGTACTGAACTCTACTCTGCTGTACTGAACTCTACTCTGCTGTACGGAACTCTACTCTGCTGTACGGAACTCTACTCTGCTGTACGGAACTCTACTCTGCTGTACTGCAGGGCTCAACATTAACGCTTGGCCGGGGCAAAGTAAAAACAAATGTTGGACAAGCAGATTATAGATTTAAGTTGTCCGAATGGACAAGGGAAAACAATCACGCAAAAATCACAATATCAAACAATTGGGCTACTCTGATCAGAATTGGATCAAAGTGTCCTCCGGATGCGATGTTTTGCTCACTGTCCACCCAATCTCTGCAGAGTGCATCGGAGTATAATTATTGTAGGCCTGAATTGACAGGCACAAGTGGTCTTTCAATCATGCAGTCGCGAGGTGCATTTTTTAGATCAAAGTGAGCATAGCCACGTTTGCACATTTGTTGATAATTATTGATGATTAGTTATTTGCCCAGCTATAGCACATTTTTGGTCAGTAATGAAAATCCTGGAAAAGGTCATGGTGTGTACATCACCTGCGTCTGTGCCAGTGGGCTGTTGCCAGAGGAAAGCGAGAGAGAGAAAGAGACATTTGCGCAACAGGTAAAATGATATACAACAGACTAACTACTGTAGATAACCAGCCAATTCAAAACATATTGTGTATATCTCGCTAGTTAACTATTTAGCCATTAGCATGCATTATTCCACCGGCACTCGTGTATAACCGCAAATGGCCAACACGCAGTTGTTATGGGTGCACAGTTGATGAAAACAATGTTGCATACTCCGGTTGTAAAACCTTTACTCCGGTTGTAAAAAAGTCTCAAGCGCTCAAAATTGGCTAGGATTCTCCTTTATTCAGTACTGGCCATGTAATTATGACAAAGTTAAAAAATAGTGTTAGAATAGCCTAATTGACAAAGTAACTCCTATGCTGTCAAGATCTCCCCTGAACACTGAATATTTTAACCTTACAAATAGATAAACATCTTAGTTAGCTACCTCGCACACCTTAGCCATTTGATCCCTGGTTCATTGAATGAGGGAAATATGTAATTGTAATGTTGCAGGGTGGCCAACCCTCCTCCTGGAGAGTCCAGGAGAGCTACTGGGTGTGCAGGCTTTTGCTCCAGCCCTGCTCGAACACACCACATTGTAAAATAAATCAGCTGCTCAACAGGACCTTGATAAGCTGACTCTGGTGTGTTTGAGCAGAGTTTGATAAAAAGCCCTGCACACCCAGTAGCTTTCCAGATGGAGGGTTTACAGACCACATGTGTTTTACATAGTAGCCTATCAGTGCAGTATTTTACTTTGTGGGGGTTAAGTGCCTTGCTCAGGACATATACTACATGGGATCAGAGACCAGTAGCCTTCCATTTCAATACCAGTGATAGTAATGCAGGTTATTTTTTTTTAAAAAGTGGTTTCTTGCATCATACAACACAATTTTCAGTCACCTTTTTGGCCCATGGTGTTACAGACCTGTTTTTGTTTTGGGGGGTTACAAGTGACCTGAGTTTTCGGACAAGTAAAAAGACAAGTGGCTAAAAAGGTTAATGTAAAGGTCTGTACTGTACTCTACTTAGCTCTAGTGTGCTGTACTTGGATCTCCAAACTTGTGAAATATAGACGTCTATGATTGGTTCAGATTTGGTCCGGTTCGGGGGCAGAGCTCATTAAAATAATAGCCAGTGTGTAGAATAAAACCCAAATATCAAAAGGAGGATATTGCATATTTATACCTTTGTGTAGGATACATCACCTGAAGAGAATGACATTCATATCCATAATTATGCATTTCTGTGTATTACAGATCAGGGACCCATGATGAAATTCCGTTACCGGGTGTAAATCCACTTCACTTACTGTAGTTCAATAACCAAAAACTGATTTTTTCAAAGTCAATGTGTCATGTCATAGCTTACACCTCATTCTTTCTGCAGACATCTTTGAATCTTAATTGGAAACAGATATTTAACAGAGTTTTCGGAAAACGTGGACACAAAAAACAGGGGAAGATTTTACCAAAGTTCTGTTACCAAACTTTGCATCTGCACAGTTCTTTCAGTAAATGTGTTTTTGTAAAATGTTCAGTGTCAATTGTTAAAAGTAGTCTTTCAGCATACAGTTGTATGGTTTGTTCAATGGTTTTTGTATGGCATACATTTTAAGTGAAAAATCTGAGTCTCAGCGCAATTCCGTTACCGTAGAATCGCCCTACTATAAAACATGCCATAGCAACCACTTTCAGATCCCTGTTTTATATTTAGCGTAGCCTACCTTATTTTTTCTATATGCCAAGATTTGCATCAAGGTGTTATGTGCCACCTGTTTACCACACACGGTGGAACAGGTCAGCCCAGGAATTGTCATCAGTGTGGATTATACTATTATCAGTGGTAACATAACATGGGGGACTGATGTATACTGTACATCTAATGGAATGACTGTTGTCTGTCTAATGGGTTCTGATGCCTCTGATCTGAACCAGGTCAGTGAGTAAATAGACAGGCAGGGATGATGAAAGCAGGGCAGCCTTGTTGTCCTTTAGCCTATCATTAGGCTCAGCTCAAAGCGGTCACAGGCATGTTTAATATGTAACTAATTGAGAAGATGCTCCCTAGTCTGGACAGGAGCTGGTCAGTGTTGAGGTAAAGGTCCAGTTAACCCTGCTGATGATGATGATAGCATTATACTACAGGTTGGATAAAAAATAGAATGGTTATGGCTCTTTATTCCACATGGAATGCATTTGTCTATGCTCTCAATTTCTATGCCCTGTCAGTATTGTCTTCCATTATATCAACTGAGCACGGCCCTGCAGTGGGCATGGCTAAAAGCCAATTTATGCTTGATCTGAAAATGTGGCCGGAGGCTCCGTATGGAGGGTATGACGCAATTGTGGAGCCTCCGGAGGCATGCAGAGGCCAAATTGAGCTCCGTACCACATCACCGTGCGCCTCCCAAATTTTGCAACAATTCGGAGGGCTCCGTATAGCATTGACATGATTGGTTGACGGTAGGTGAGGGCGGGAGGTCCTTTATAAACCCAAACTCACTTCCTTGACAACTTTCTTCACAACAGCTGTGCTCAACAGCTCTGCGCTGCTCCGCGAAGCACAAGAAGTATGAATGCCATGACTTCTGCAGAGGCCATATCACCGTAAATACTGCACGGCCAATGCAGACATCGGATTGACCATGCAGCGCCGTTAAGGGGACTGAGGAGACTGAGGCAATGCCCAGCCCTGCATTTACAGGAAGCACAGTCCACTGGCTGCTTGCCTACGGAGCAGCAAGCGGAACTGCCCCTTCCTACCTTCAGGCTATGCTCAAACCCTACACCCCAACCCGAGCACTCTGTTCTGCCACCTCTGGTCTCTTGGTCATTCAAGCCCTACAGGGGTCAGCTCCCCCTCAGCCCAGTGAAAGCTATTCTCTGTCCTGGCACCCCAATGGTGGAAAGAGCTCCCCCCTTATGCTAGGACAGCAGAGTCCCTGCCCATCTTCCGAAAACGTCTGAAACCCCACCCTTCAAAGAATATCTCAAGTAAGACATCGGTCTTATTCCCCGCCCCATCAAAAATATAAATACAATTCAATTCACTTGTCCTACTAGCACTGACTTTGCTGATAACTTCTTTATTGGGTAAAAATGTACTTACTACGACTGTGATATGTGGTTGTCTCACCAAGCTATCTTAAATATGTAATCCGCAGTAGGGGGAAACGGTTCCACTGGCCGCCCCACCACCATTGTTATAGTTGCCGAGCTGAGGAGTGTTGTGCTGCATGGTCCAAAAAACATTGTAGTACATATTGTGCTCTTCTATCTCGCGTTCAATGATGTCTGAGGGGGAAAAACTGTGTTTGTTGTTTTCAGTAACTTCTTTGTTGCAATATCACAAACGGACGTGGTTGTTTCACCATTAAGGATTCCAGCGTTAAGATGAATGCACTACTACTGTAAGTCGCTCTGGATAAGAGTGTCTGCAAAATGACTAAAATGCTCTCTTCTAGTGCCCTCTGTGTTTGTTCTATGTGAAGGGCTCATTGATCTCCGGCTAATCACTGCTGGCCAGCCCAGAGCCCTGCAGCAGGATGTAGTGCCATGAATTAACCATGGGTGCCCAGGTCTTATCACCAACCAGCCCGTTATCGACCTGCAGCCCAGGCTCAGGCTCAGGCTCCATACTCAGCCTCCCTTCGTTACAGAGACTGGGTGTACTGGATCTCTCAGCCAGCCTCCTTTTTGATGCATTTTTCATGCATGTTTTACTCTGCAAATATCAAAACACAAGACATTCCTTTTGATAATGATCTCTTTTGTGCTGCCGCTTGGTTATGCACCCAATGTAGTAGGCTTGCACCGCAGTAGTGTTACAGTAAACAGAGTCTGGGTAGATAGAACTTGCTTTCCACAGTAATTTCTTATCCCTTATATTATTGTCCCCTTTCTACTATTAAACCTACAACCGTCCTACCTGTGGTCGTGGTGTATATATTATCTACAGTGTCTGGATTCTCTCTCTTTCTCAGACAGTGATAGACTTTGAACTCTTCTCTTTGTCTCTGCAGACAGTTCTTTCTTCACACTGCCTCTCTATGACTTTCTCAATTCAGTGGGTATTAAGTGTTCTCCAAACCCTGCCTCAAAAGCCCCATTCATTCATCATTAACAGTGGTTTTAATGTGTTTACTAAATACGTAGATGAATTACTGTGAGTTGTTTTACTGTACACAGCTGTGTTTAGTGCTTTGGGGCTTTGTCTGGTGGTGTTCTTGTTCCCTGTGAGCCTGACTGCTTAGAAAGGGCCTGCCTATCAAAACGGTATGAATGTTATCTCCCTCATTCAGTTCTACCCATAGGAGCTCTTTATGATTTGTAGGCCTGTGTTCTGCCAATAGGATCTGTTGTGTAGTGGTGAATGTGCTTACTCTGAGAACATTGTGAGGGGCATGGAAAGAAACATCTGCAAGTGATATCTCCAGACAGTATGATACCAAATTGAACAGCTATTACATCTAGGTAAATGTGACGAGACATGCAATTTGAGATCATAATTAGTGATGCTACATCAGCCGTTCCAATCTGTCTGTGGAGTCTTTTTTCAGGACCAGAGGAAAATGTAGTCTTTTTTTTTTTATGGAGAGGAAAGCAGCCAACATTCTATGCAGCCTTTTAAAAGGCAGTTGGGCTTCCCTAGTTGCCCAATTAGTATTTATCTATCCTGTCTCTATGTATGTGGGTTTGTGAGAACTATATCATATATCTAGTAGAACTGCTGCTGGCTTAGAGACAACACTGCTAGATGTGAGATGATAATTATGTATCCACACCTAAGATCCTGTTCTGCTATTTGAAATGTACAAAGCAGGGAAGCATATAGCAAACAAGCTTTAAGGAAACTACTTTTAGTATGGTGGGTAGTAGAATGTCAAAAATAGGTTAAATGTGAAGGAATGTGTCAGTTAATAGTTACTGTACTGCAGTTGTCTTAAGTAATTTGTAGCAGTCCAACAGCTTTGCTTCTGACCTCAATCTCTTCCGGAAACATCCAGCGGTGACATGGGATCACAGATTAAACATTATTAACATCACACAGCAACAATGTGGTAATTTAAATAAAACATAGAACACCCTCCAAATAATGAATTGAATAATGACATTGAATCTTTCCCACAGTCTTTTATATTATTTATATATTTGTTCTCTTTCTCTCCTTCTCTTGTAGGGTCAGACCCAAGGCCAGTAAGAATATTTGCATGGAAAGACCACCCGGCAGCCTCCTTCCTAGAGCTTGTGGGCATGACAGGATGAGTGTCTGCGTTCGATGATGATGGCAAAAAAACAAGATGCAAAGGCGCCCACCTACAACCTGGTCGTGGTGGGCCTGTCCGGCACAGAGAAAGAGAAGGGGCAGTGTGGTGTGGGCAAGTCCTGCCTGTGCAACCGCTTTGTCCGTCCCAGCGCAGACGACTTTTACCTTGACCACACCTCCGTGCTAAGCACCAGTGACTTCGGGGGACGTGTGGTGAATAATGACCACTTCCTGTTCTGGGGGGAAACGGGGCGGGTGCTGGAGGAGGGGCCAGAGTGCAGAATGCACGTGGTGGAGCAGACAGAGTTTATTGATGACCAGACGTTCCAGCCGCACCGTTCCACAGCCCTCCAGCCCTACATCAAGAGGGCAGCCTCCAACAAGCTGGCCTCTGCAGAGAAGCTGATGTACTTCTGCACGGACCAGCTTGGGCTGGAGCAGGACTTTGAGCAGAAGCAGATGCCCGAGGGGAAGCTGATGGTGGATGGCTTCCTCCTCTGTGTGGACGTCAGCAGGGGCATGAACCGCAACTTTGACGACCAGATGAAGTTCATCACTAATCTCTACAATCAGCTAGCCAAGAACAAGAAGCCAGTGGTTCTGGTGCTCACCAAGTGTGACGAGGGGGTGGAGCGCTACATCAAGGACTCTCACACCTTCGCCCTGGCCAAGAAGAACCTCCAGGTGGTGGAGACATCCGCACGCTCCAATGTCAACGTAGACCTGGCCTTCCTCACCCTGGTGCAGCTAATAGACAAGGGCCGGGGCAAACCCAAGATCATCCCCTACTTTGAGGCCCTGAAGCAGCAGAGCCAGCAGATTGCCTCGGCTAAAGACCGCTATGAATGGCTGGTCAGCCGCATCGTGAAGAACCACAATGAGACGTGGCCCAACATCAACCGGCGCATGCAGACCTCCTCAGAGTACAAGGAGTATGTCTTCCTGGAGGGCACGGCCAAAGCCAAGAAACTCTTCCAGCAGCACGTCCACAGGCTCAAACAGGAACACATTGAGCGAAGGCGGAAGGTCTATCTTAGCACCCTGCCTCAGGCACTGGGTTCCCTAGTCCCTGAGCTGGACGAGATCGACCACCTGAGCTGGTCCGGGGTCCAGAAGGTTCTGGAGACCAAGCGGGACTTCTCCCATTGGTTCGTTGTGTTGGACGACACCCCCTGGGAGACCACGCCACACATAGACAAGATGGATGATGAGAGGATTCCCCAGGATCTCCTGGAGACCCCTGTGGCCGAGACGATTTACGAGAGCCACCTGGAGCACCTGAGAAACGAGCGCAAACGGGCAGAGATGAGGTGGGAGTTCAAGGAGCAGCTCAGTGCCTCTCCCTTCATCACAGCAGGCAAACCCTGGGAGGAGGCACGCAGCTTCATCATGAATGAAGACTTCTATCAGTGGCTCGAAGAACAAGAGTACCTAGACATCTACAACAGGCACCAGAAGGAGATCATCGACCGAGCAAAGGAGGACTTCCAGGAGCTGCTGCTGGAGTACTCAGAGCTCTTCTATGAGCTGGAGGTAGACGCCAAGCCCAGTAAGGAGAAGATGGGGGCCATCCAGGAGGTGTTGGGGGAGGAGCAGAGGTTCAAGGCCCTGCAGAAGTTGCAGGCAGAGAGGGATGCTCTGGTGCTCAAGCATATCCACTTTGTCTACCACCCCACCAAGGAGACCTGCCCAAATAGCCCCCACTGTGTGGACTGTAAGATTGAACAGGTTCTAGCCTCCAAGTTCCCCACTCGATACTCCTTCTTCGATAGCCATAAACCGGGCGACGGGAACGCAGATCGGATAAACCTGGTCATTCTGGGTAAAGATGGCCTGGGTAGAGAACTGGCCAATGAGATCAGGGCTTTGTGCACCAATGACGACCGGTACGTGCTGGATGGGAAAATGTATGAATTGTCCCTCCGGCCCATAGAGGGTAACGTGCGTTTGCCGGTCAATTCCTTCCATACGCCTACCTTCACCCCCCATGGCGTCCTGTGTCTCTACAACTCTATGGAGTCACTATCCTACATTGTGGAGAGCATTGAGAAGCTTAGAGAGTCAACGCTAGGCCGAAGGGAAAACAGTCTATTTCAGCTGCCCATGAACCTTCTCCTAGTCACCAAACGGGGGGTAGGGTCCGTCAGGGACATTGGGGGGGAGACGGCTCACACACTTATCCTCCAGGGGCAGCAGGTGGCTGGGAAGCTACAATGTGGTTACCTAGACCCCGCCTCCCCTGGGGTGGGCTATGGACGCAATGTGAACGAAAAGCAGATCAACCAGGTGTTAAAAGGTCTTTTAGAATGCCGTAGGCCCCCTGGGAGCATAGGCAGCAGCTCCCCTCCTTTACCCCCTTCCTTCAGAGACTCTCACTCCCAGCCCATACCCGAGACAGACCTGCGGATAGTCATGTGCCTGATGTGTGGGGACGATTATGACGTGGAGCAGCTCCTCTCTCCTCTCCTGCTGCCCCAGCACTGTCGGCCGGCCTCCAGCCTGAGCAGTGGCACGTCTGTGCTCCTAGAGCTCACGGTGGGGGCCCAGAGGCACACCATCGACCTCTCCCTGCTCTCCTTCCACTCCTCATTTGCCCTACGGAAGAGCCGGCTGGTGCACGGCTACATTGCAGTGTATTCGGCCAGGCGCAAGGCGTCCATGGAGACCCTGTGTGCGTTCCTGTGCGAGGTGCAGGACATTATCCCCGTGCAGCTGCTGGCGGTGGGGGAGAGCCAGGCTGAGCTGTCGGACTCTGAGGCGGCCAGGGAGCAGGTGAGCCAGGGGGAGGAGCTGGCCCGGGAGATCGAGGCCAGGTTTAACACAGTAGTGTGTGGGCCTGGAGGGGTGGTGGGAGGCCTGCACAGGATAGACCTCTTCCAGCCCTTCCTGAAGGAGGTTGTGGAGAAACGCACCATAGTGGAGGCCACACACATGTACGATAATGTAGCAGAGGCCTGCACCACTGAGAGCATGAGCCCGGCCCGCTGCAATTCCCCCAGCCCCATCAACACCCTGCTAGACTCTGAGGAGGACGTGGAGCCCTCACCCCCCTACCCTGATGGTACCCTCACCTCCCACCTGGGGGGCTTCAAGCTCCCTGACCTGGAGTCCAGCGACGCCTTCTCAGTCATCTCTGAGATCAGCACCTTCGAGAGCAAGCTCAACAACAAGGTGCCCCCCCAGGTGCGGCCCAAGCCCACCGTACGGAAAGTCAACCTGGGGCCCTACATGGACCAGCAAGGGACCAACCGCCGCTCCTTACCCCCTGCTGTCACCTGGGCGCCGGGCAGCGACGGTGGCTACGACCCCTCGGACTACGCAGAGCCCATGGATGCCGTGACCAAACAGCGGCCCACGGAGGAAGAGAGCATCTACTCGGTGCCCCACGACAGCACGCAGGGCAAGATAATCACCATCCGCAACGCCAACAAGCATTCTAACGGCGGGGGCAATGGCTCAGATAGCGAGGCTGACAGCAGCTCCCTGGAGCGGAGGCGGAAGATGTCTGCTCTGGGGGTGAAGCCACGGCTGTACCGCGACCGCTCTAAACGCCTGGGCAAGTTCAGCAGCTTCCGCACTAGCTTCTCTATCGGCAGTGATGACGAGCTGGGGCCGCCCAAAGCAGCAGAGGAGCTGGGCGGGGCGCACAAGGGGGACAACTCCATTAACGAGGAGGGCGAGGACCCCAAGAGAAGGAACATCCTCAGGAGCCTGCGCAGAAACACCAAGGTATGTGCCCCAGGGTGGGTGGGTGGGTGTCTGTGTGTGTATCGTTCATCAATAACATCACATCAGATTGCATACTTTCAGTTTTTATTCTTTATACCAGTCACATACTGTATATAGAGCATCCCGAGAAAGAGAAAAACAGCTGTGATTCATTGAGATTTCACCCTAGGAATGACTTCATATACAATCTCTATTAAGCTATTATAGACTACTTAATGAGTTTCATCTGTTTAATAGGGTTTTGTCTTCACTTACCACCTTTATCAAAATGACTTAGCAACAGTGTTCCTATTGCACTGTTCAGTGTTTATTGGTGTGTGTATTTCCTCACCTGTGTTAGTGTATGAGCTGTACTCAGGGGATTTCTGTGTCATGTCTCTGCTCACTAGAGCCCATCTCATTGGAGTCTGACATGCTATGGAGGGTCTAGGTCTAGGTTACCTTCCAGGCTCTTTAAATCAGCCCTGCCTTCTCTCACTCTGTGGGCCTACTTTTCTCCTGCTCTGCGGGAGTCCTCCAAACTAGCCCAATCATGGGCGGAAGCAGAGAAACTTCAGCTATTGAACTCACCCAGCTCAGGAGAAACTGTTTTAATGAATAGGGAGCTCAGTATACGCTCAGGCTATGGCTAGTTGTGTATGTGTGTGTGTTTCCGTGTATGTGCATGTGTTGTCAGTATTTATGTGTGTGCGTGCTGTCATTATTCCACAAACTGACAAAATTCTCAAACTTTAACCCCTGCTGACATAGCTCATTAGAACACCATTAAAACTGAAGTTACATTTTTGCGAGTTTAGTTTCAGACATTTCTTTCACTGGTCACCTGAATGAGGGCATTAACGAGAATAAAAAGGGAGATAATTATTTTACTGCCCCCTCTCCCCCCTCCACACGGTCTCTCTGTACAGCAGTTATGTTTTATCCTGGATTAAAGCATCCCTAGCTCTAACCCACTCACTGTTCACAAATTACAAACCTGTTACTGCCCCAGCCCTAGCTGCAGTCCCATAGGCTGGCTTGTTTAAAAAAAAAACTATTCGGTAAGTAGGTCTGTGCAGAGTAGACCCAACGGGTTTATGACATGCTCTGTTCAGAGGTGGGCTATGTCTCTAATCCGGAGAGTTCCCCGCTGCATCAGTGCATGAAGTCAGACCCGCCCTAAGAGCACGATAGGCTGCAGTCTCACTGAATAAAGTGAACAGAGAGTGATTGGCAGCTGAGTGGTCCAACTGTGCAGCATGTTTTCAGTAGTGCTCTAGTGCTGCACCAAAACATGCCCAGAGACTAGTGGACATGCCCTGGGTTTATTTTCTCCTCATCCTCCCACACATTCTCTTTCCCTCCCTCATTCCCCGACTCTCCCTCTCTTTACCTTCCTGCTGACGAAGCGGGATAGAGGGAATATAAGACTCATACGTGGGCGTCAGCCTCACTCTGGCCTCCCTCCCTCAGACACTCTGCAGTGAAACATTTGACCCAACACCGTCAGTCTTATCTGCCTGCCATAGCTCCCATTCACACAGAGAGGCTGACACATAAGTGCCACCTAAGTGGGAGCGAAAGCAGTGTATATGATTAGACTGGCTGGGAGAGAGACACAAACCACCCTGTCGCTGTGTGTGGGTGATAATTACCATGGGTGTCAGTAGGGAGGACAGGGGATTTATGGTTTCACACACAGTGGTGATGTCCCTCCACTCCATAAACTATACAAGACTGTTTAGTTGTATACTGTATATCCTGAATGATGCTCTATAACATCACAAATCTAGAGAGAATTGGTTGGCGGAACCAGTATAGGGGGAACTTAATTGAACCGCCCAAAAATAAAACAAAAATGCTTTATGGGACTAAGCTAGCGACTCCCCAGACTGCAGAGCACAGCCTTAGGGCTGATCTGGGCCCTGTGCCCCCGCTCCACTTACATTAAAGCCTTTATTACTTAATGGGAGCCATAACAAGGGCATCAGGTTCCCAGATCAGCTGTCTCTCGATTGATGAGGGTCGCCAGCTGTAGCCTTGCGTCCCCTTAGGGCACTGCACATTTGGGTCATTATAATCAAGAGAGAGTGTCCCTGTAAGTCTGATCTGAGGTCAGGGTAGAACCAGCCAGTCCTGTCTCTGTGTCTGCCTGGCCGCCGTTAGGCCTCAGCATTGAGTTCACAGTAGAAACTAACCCTCTCTCCCTGTTCAAATACATTCACCTCAGGCTGTGGCTGGCTGACTTGGCAGAGGTCTCTCTCTCTCTCCCTTGGCAGAGGTCTCTTCTCTCTCTCTCTTCTCTCTCCTCTCTCTCTCGCTCTCTCTCTATCCCTCTCTCTACCGAGACGCCAGAAACGTTTCCTCTCCCCAGCCTTCCTCAGTGGAATGTTTTAAATTCCTGCATCACCTAGTTCCATTCTAATACGCCGCTAGCACTGCACACAGAGAGAGAGAGAGAGAGAGAGAGAGAGAGAAGAACCCTGGTCTCTTGTGTTTTATTAAGGACGTGTTTTGTTTTCCTTGTGTGGTAGAGGTATGTTGTCTTCTCAGCGCTAGCAACATCCTGTCTCAGTAAGCAACTGAGGAGTGGCCACAAGAAAAAAATGCAGGGAATATGCTAACCGTTGATAGGAAACAAATACAAGGTAGCTTACTAGTCTCAGCTCCCAAATGCGTACATCTCTGCTTCAGCTCTCAGCTCAGTCTGCCCCCCAGGCCTCTTGGGACAGCAACACATTCCCAGTGAACACCATTTAAGTGCACCGTACAAGTGAAGTTACGGCTTGAACGGCACAGAAGTAGCTGCAGTAGCTTATAATGCTGATAACAGCAGTAAGTTAGGGACTTACTACAAACTATGATTGCGTTTCGGATGCGGTAATTTTCGAGGGATGCAGTGTAGTGGAAAGGGAGTATGACAAGGGAGAGGAAAGCGAGTGCAGAGGATAAAGAAAACATAGAGAGGTGAAAAGTGGAATGGAGATGTGTATCACACATACAGCTCGAGACAGGAATGTATGATTCTTATCAGCTTAGGCCTTGAGAAGAATCTGCTGCAAGGGTGCGTATGTGTGTTGTGTTGGTGCTGGTTGATAGAGTAGATGCCCATATTAAGAATGAAAGTGTGGTAATGTGTGTGTTAAAATTGTGTGCATATCTATGGTCTAACAATCTATCCATGTCTTGGCTGGATGATGAACAGAAAGGATAACACCATTCTCATCTCTCCCTCCCTCCCTCTCTCAGAAACCGCGGCCCAAGCCCAGACATTCCATATCCAAAGTAGAAAGCAACTACTTTGGCGTGCCATTGGCCAACGTGGTGACACCTGACCGACCCATCCCGCTCTTCATCGACAAGTGCATCCGATATATTGAGGCAACAGGTAAGCTTACACGTATTACAGAGGCTGTATTGTTGTTCTGAATGGATGCTATTGATTACTGAGACTATTGAGAAGAACAATATAGTGGCGTATAGAGGGAGTAGGTGGCTTTATTGATTTACTCCTGTGCTGGTTCCTTGTTTGTGACCCATATTACTATTCAGGGAGCAAAGGTCGCAAGCAGTTTCTGACCTCAATATCAGCAAGGTCTCCTCTTTTCTCTCCTCTCTCCCTCTCGCTCTCCCTTCTCTCCTCCTCCCTCTCTCTCTCTCCTCTCTCTCTCTCTCCGTTCTCTCATCTCGTCTCTCTCTCTCTCCCTCTCTCTCTTCTACGATCTCTCTAGTCTCTCTCTCCTCTCTCCTCTCTCTCTCTCTCTCTCTCTCTCTCTCTCCTCTCTCTTTCTCTCCTCTCTCTCGCTCTCTCTCTTCTCTCTCCTCTCTCTCTCTCTTCCCCCCCCCCCACCCTGTGGAACTGGGTACACAGATGGGCCTGTGCCCGGTTAACCCTGCTGCCACACTCTGCCCTAATGCCCCTCATGCTACATCACTGCCCTGGGCCCTCAAGGGGCACGTCGCTCAGCCTAACATCAGCTGTTACTCAATCCCCCTAACGTGTGTGTCTCGGGAAGGTGGTTGAAGTGACAGGTCTGAATACACAGGGGCATTATTATATGGAACACCTTTGATACTCAAGCAGGAAAATTATTCCATGATGCAAATGAGAGCATTCAGGGTAGAATGCTAAATCGAGATCACAGTATTCTGCGTGTTGTGTTTGTGTGAGGATGCAAAAGCCATGACATGCCTTATTGACATTTTTGGCAGTGCATTCCTGGGTAATCGCTTGTCTGATTAAACCTTTCCCACACAAGGATTAAAGTCAGACGCCTCTGCGCTGCCACGTGTGGGTAAAGGGGGCAGAGATACGCACTTGAGTCAGGGCACCAGCGAGGTGCTCGCTGCCACCCTCACCCACCTGAGTGAATTTAGCTACCACAAGGGGGCAGAGTGGAGTGGCACACACACACCACCTCCTTGGTTTCCCTCCTGCCTGCCTCTCTCTCTTTTCACCTAATCCACCATTTCCTCTCCTCTCTTCCCCTGCAGATTCCCTCGTGTCCTCGTTTGGCCCTCTCTCCATCTAGTCTCTTTCTTTCACCCACTGTCCTCATCTGCTTAGTTTTCCTTGCCCTCTGTGCCTCTTTCTCTCTCTCACCGTCTTTCTCGCTCTCTCTCTCTCTCTCTTTCTTTCTCTCCCCCTCTTTCTCTCTCACTCTCTCTCTCTCTCTCTCACTCTCTCTCTCCCTGTTTCTCTCTCCTGTGTGATGCCAATGCCCCTGTCTCTGTCTGTGTTCAGAGGCAGTGGGGTAGTGGTAATTTTCTGCCCTATAGCTCCCTCCTTCAGATCGATATCACAGAGCAGGAAATTAGAACAATCTATGAGCTCAGCTCTTTTCTCTGTGTGCACCGGGAGGGAGGAGGAACACACTGCAGCAACACAACACACAGTCCTTAGCCACATCCTCTGATGACACTCTCACTATGGAGTCAGTGCACACGCACACGAATAAATAAAGGCATACACCAAAATATGCACACACACACACAAAAGCGCTCAGATGGTGACACACCCAAATGCTTTACATGAGAAACACCAGCACTAAATGGGAATATTCTCACTGTGAAGCACACAGTCCTATTCTAACTCACACATTGACTTATACACTCCGACTCAAACTTAAATGTGCTGTCCCGTTTTATAAGTCATGGAGGCTATTTAAGGATGTTGTTGCCAAAGTGACATTCATTTTTTTGTTCATTACGGCATCGTGACATTCAATGGTGTTAGTGTCCAGAGCTTGTTGTTTAACACGTACCAACACTTTCACTAAAATTAGCTACAATGTGTCTTTACTTATTACGGTAGTGTACTATAAAATTATTTCTGTAAAATAAACTTAGTCAGGGGTCAGACGTGCGTTTGTGTGTGGTTGTGCATTTGTCTCTGTGTGTGTACGTGTGCCTGTGTCTTCCTTGTGCCCCCCTCTTTTGTTGAGTATGACAGAGGAGAGGCAGAGGATGACCCTATGATTGTAACTAAAGGTGTCCAGGGCTTTAGGGGGATAAGTGATGTTATGTTATGGAGCAGACCTACATCCGTCCCCTCTCCCTCACCCTATACCAAAAATACATACCCACCCTACCGTATTGTCCGAGCTGCCCACTGCTCTCCTATACACATCCTCTCTTATCATTCCTCCATCCCCCTCTCAACGTCTGTGTAAGGGCGCTCCCTCCACCCCCACTCCTTCAACAGTCTCTCCCTCTGTCCTCCCTCTCTTTACCTTCGTCCCCCTCACACCTTTGCTACTGTTATTCCCTTTCGGTCCATCTTCCCCGGACTCTTCTCCTTTTGCCTTCCCACTTATTTTCCTCTGATCTTTCTCTCTCTCCATCCCTTCTGCTCCTCAGTCTCCATACGGAGTAATGTTTCTGTTTCCACTCAGTGAGTTGTGTGTCCTTGTGGGTATTGAGATGATGAATGCGTGTTAGCATGCGTGGGCACGTCTCCTTGTTCTAGCGAGCTCCATAGCGACGTAAAGGGCAGCAGCCAGTGATAGCGTGTTTCCGTGGTGGCCTATGAAAACGGCTGCTTGTTGCCGGTGGCAACGGGACCCTGAGACAAACCCCACATCTGGGCTGAGGATCAGTCTGACCCTTGTCAGAGAGGCTTTGCCAACACGCCTCCGGAGCCAACTGCCACTCTCTTCTCTCTGTGTGTGTGTGTGTGTGTGTGTGTGTGTGTGTGTTTTTGCTTTTCACAGCAGTTGTCATGAATTGTAATGATGAATGAGTGTTCGGAAGAGAGCAAGAGCTGTTCACACATTCTCATAAGTTTAATGCTTATCGTGGGCATGTGTGTGTTTGGGACGTCACTTGATGGTGTCTGATATACTGTAGGTGGAAAAAGACTTGGAGAGATGAAAATGTAATAAAAATATAATAATGTCATGATTATGTGATGAAATGGGATAGTCCTGTAGAAGCAGGAGATGGTCGCTCAGACAGGATGTAGATAAGCTGTACACAGGAAGTGCTAGTGTTTGGTTTGACTCCGGTCACTGCAGAGGAAAGGAAACCGGTCCAGAGCTGCTCTCAGAACAAAGAGGGTGATGGAAGTTGACCTCTACATCACACTCTCTGACCTCTGCATTTCCACTACCATCCTCCCTCTGTCTATATCTCTCTCCCGCTTCCTCACTCTGGCTCTGTATGGTAAGAGCATGACGGTAGTATGCCAGAGTAAGGCTGTGGCGGTCATTACATTTTGTAAGCAGTTGATTGTCATGCCTACACAAACAACAATAAATCCATTATTTATTTTAGGCAGGTCTAAAGAAACATGATATGAAGAAAATGTAGTCTATTTCAGAAGAACAGAATAGCATATTCTGAGTCGTCCTTATGTTAGGCACTGATCTGGCTATGCCATATGGCTGTGGGCTACACTAGTTCATTTAGCAGACAGGATTTGCTTATAATTTCCGGGGCATTATTTGAAAGTAAGAAGAATACAATTGAACATAGCTGAATAAAATAGAAAGGATATTTTCCCCAAATGATTTCCGAGCGAGTGCGCATATGCGGCTATTCTGTGTTGAGTGGTTCTCCTGAGTGGCGCAGTGGTCTAAGGCACTGCATCGCAGTGCTAACTGTGCCACTAGAGATCCTGGTTCGAATCCAGGCTCTGTCGCAGCCGGCCGCGACCGGGAGACTCATGGGTCGGCGCACAATTGGCCCAGCGTCGTCCAGGGTAGGGGAGGGAATGGCCGGCAGGGATGTAGCTCAGTTGATAGAGCATGGCGTTTGCAACGCCAGGGTTGTGGGTTCGATTCCCACGGGGGGCCAGTATAAAAAAATATGTATTCACTAACTGTAAGTCGCTCTGGATAAGAGCGTCTGCTAAATGACTAAAAATGTAAATGTTAACAAAGAAACAGGTCCTTCTATATGCTTCATTTAGTTGTTCATGCAACTTTAGTTGTGATATAAACATTAGGATATATGTTTTGATTTGTAATACATTCTAAGGCATGATGTGAGTCTAATGATTTTGAAAAAAGTCGCATGAAAGACATGAGCTCTGCTTTGTTTCTTGCGCAGGCTGCACACACTTCATCAGTCTCTCATTCTCTCATTCACAATTTGACAAGCACTTGATAATATTCTGACGGTAGTATGCCGCACGGCAAGCGGTACCGGAGCGCCAAGTCTAGGTCCAAAAGACTTCTCAACAGCTTCTACCCCCAAGCCATAAGACTCCTGAACAGCTAATCATGGCTACCCGGAATATTTGCCCCCACCCCCACCCCATCTTTTTACGCTGCTGCTACTCTGTTAATTATTTATGCATAGTCACTTTAACTCTACCCACATGTACATATTACCTCAACTACCTCAACTAGCCGGTGCCCCCGCACATTGACTCTGCAACGGTACCCCCCTGTATATAGCCTCCCTACTGTTATTTTATTTTACTTCTGCTCTTTTTTTTCTCACTTTTTTGTTATTGTTGTTTTATTTTACTTTTTTTATAAAAAAATAAATGCATTGTTGGTTAAGGGCTGTAAGTAAGCATTTCATGGTAATGTCTACACCTGTTGTATTCGGCGCATGTGGCAAATACGATTTGATTTGATTCTCACCCATCAGACTGTTCTGAATAGCCGCATGTGTCCCGTGTAGCTCAGTTGGTAGAGCATGGCGCTTGCAGCGCCAGGTATGTGGGTTTGATTCCCACGGGGGACCAGTATGAAAAAAGTATGAGAATGTATGCACTCACTACTGTAAGTCGCTCTGGATAAGAGCGTCTTCTAAATGACTAAAATGCAAAAATGTAAAACATGTATTCTCAATTTAATCTGGTCTTTACATATAGCCTACCAATATATCAAATATATCCCTTTTTACATCAGCAGATGTCACAAAGTGCTTATACAGAAACCCAGACTAAAACCCCACAGAGCAAGCAATGTCGATGTAGAAGCATGGTGGCTAGGAAAAACTCCCTAGAAAGGCAGGAACCTAGGAGGAAACCTAGAGAGGAACCAGGCTCTGAGGGGAGGCCAGTCCTCTTCTGGCTGTGCCAGGTGGAGATTAAAAGAGTACATGGCCATTAAGGCCAGATCATTCTTCAAGATGTTCAAACGTTCATAGATGACCAGCAGGGTCAAATAATAATCACAGTGGTTGTAGAGGGTGCAACAGGTCAGCACCTCAGGAGTAAATGTCAGTTGGCTTTTCATAGCCGAGCATTCAGAGGTCAAGACAGCAGGTGAGGGAGGGAGAGGGAGGAAGAGAGAGAGAGGATCAAAAACAGCAGGTCCGGGTCAAGGTAGCAAGTCCGGTGAACAGGTCAAGGTTCCATAGCCACAGGCAAAACAGCAGAAACTGGAGCAGCAGGACGACCAAGTGGACTGGGGACAGCCAGGAGTCATCAGTCCAGGTAGTCCTGAGGCATGGTCCTAGGGCTCAGGTCCTCCGGGAGGGGGGAGGGAGGGAGGGAGAGGAGAATTAGAGGGAGCATACTTAAGTTCACACAGGACACCAGATAAGACAGGATAATTACACCAGATAGGACAGACTGACAGACTGACCCTAGCCCCCGGCACTATTGCAGCATAGATACTGGAGACTGAGACGGGGGGGTCGGGGGGCACTGTAGCCCCGTCCGACGATACCCCCGGACAGGGCCTACCAGGCAGGATATAACCCCACCCACTTTGCCAAAGCACAGCCCCCACAACACTAGTGGGTGGTGTATACCAAACATTAGGAACATCTTCCTAGTATTGAGTTGCACCCCCTTCCCCCCCTTTTGCCCTCAGAACATCCTCAATTCGTCAGGGCATGGGCTCTACAAGGTGTCGAAAGCGTTCCACAGGGATGCTGGCCCATGTTGACTCCAATGCTTCCCACAGTTGTGTTAATTTTGCTGAATGTCCTTTGGGTGGTGGACCATTCTTGATACACATGGAAAACTGTTGAGCGTGAAAAACCCAACAGTGTTGCAGTTCTTGACAAAACCGGTGCACCTACTACCATACCACGTTCAAAGGCACTTAAATCTTTTGTACTGCCCATTCAACTTCTGAATGGTACACATACACAATCCATGTCTCAATTGTCTCAAGGCTCTAAAATCCTTCGTTAACCTGTCTCCTCCCCTTCATCTACACTGATTGAAGTGGATTTAACAAGTAACATCAATAAGGGATCATAGACTGACCAGATGAATCCAGGTGAAAACTATGTCATGGAAAGAGCAGGTGTTCTTAAAGGAATAATCCACCCCCAGAAATAAAAATCATGAAACTCCTGTTGTTTGTTTTGTTCTGTCAGTGGATAGGTAAAATACATGTTTTTTGCATGATTCAAGTGGTCCCCCTGTGACAATCAGGAAATCATGTAGGAACGCGTCATAGCTACATAATTGTCGTCACTGGAGATAGGGGTTAACACACTATCACATTTTAGAACGCTTTTAAAACAATTACCTGCACTCCAGATCGCCAAATCAGCCAACATATGGTATGGGCATACTTGTCTAGAACACATCCATCCGTTTATGTCATCATGACAAAGTATATATTTCGCTTAGATGTGCTCAATCTAATCAGTGTAACAAATCAAGTACCATGTCGCAATGCACCGTGTCTGTAGGAAACAGATATATTATAGAAAGGCGGAGATAGGAATCCCATTGGGAAATTAATGGAGAAACGCCCCACCCGACTGACTGTCGACCCATCGCATTCACGTTGTCATGCTGCGTCACGCGGTTCCTAAGCTAATCATCACGCAATCCGGTCCTAATGGAGTTTCCATCCCCTCAAAATTATCTCTGTGGTAAAGCAACGTAATGTTGCTCTCGCTCTTGGCAGAGACCCCATTTATAGCTCTGTGGCAGAGACGAACTGCAAGTTGAACTCGGTTAGTTAGACTCCTAAATTGATGGGGCAGTTTGTTTAGCCGATGTTACAGCTAACTAGCTACTCCACATGCTGATATTGAGTTTGGTATTATTGTGTGTAGCTATGTTTTCTAGCCAGCCAGCCCAGGGAGAGAGAGAGAGAGAGCATTGCATTGTGGTTTTTTGTAGTAGACTTGAGCTGCAACACATTTCCCCAAACTGATTTTCACATGTTTCTACCAACATTGTTATAACAACAAAATGAAACATTTGTTCACAAAAAAATATTGTTCTCACATATTTGTGTTATTTAACACTCTTAATAACAGGAATTCGTAGTTTTGGGTGGATTATCCCTTTAATGTTTTGGATACTCAGTGTATGTGTGGAATATTTTTTTATTTACAGTGGTCCATAAAAAAAAAAATTGGAATAGCGGATGGAGGTTATGTGTGGTTACGTTTTTAATATGCCAGGCAGGCTACATCGGTTGTAAAACGGATTAATGTGCTTAATTTTAAGAATTTAGCAATAAATGTAGCATCACGAGAAAGCTGGGATCCTCTTATAAGAACACATTTCACTAGGCTCTCTGTAGGCTATGGGCTATGGGCTCTCCAAATGTGTTCCAGGGGTCCTAGGCCTAAAGGTTACATTTTGGAGTTTGGCCACTTTTGTAATAAAAACCTTAACAAAACATATAGGTCTATGGGCTAGGGTACATGATGCATGCGACTATGATTTAGAAAAAGTCGCGAAATAAGGCATCCAACCGACTATTCTCAAATTTATCTTATCTTTATATGTACTAAATAAAGCTGGGACCGAGAGACTGAAAAACAGCTTCTTGCTCAAGGCCATCTGACTGTTAAATAGCCATTACTAGCCGGCCTCCACCCAGTACCCTGCCCTGAACTTAGTCACTGTCACTAGCCGGCTACCACCCAGTTACTCAATCCTGCACCTTAGAGGCTGCTGCCCTATGTAGATACACATACAGTGCATTCGGAAAGTATTCAGACCGCTTGATGAAGCACATTTTTGCACATTTATAGATCGGGTTCAAGTCCGGGCTCTGGCTGGGGCACTCAAGGACATTGAGACTTGTCCCGAAGCCACTCCTGTGTTGTCTTGGCTGTGTGCTTAGGGTCATTGTCCTGTTAGAAGGTGAACCTTCACCCCAGTCTGAGGTCCTCAAGGATCTCTCTGTACTTTGCTCCGTTCATCTTTCCCTCGATCCTGACTAGCCTCCCAGTCCCTGCCACTGAAAAACATCCCCACAGCATGATGCTGCCACCACCATGCTTCACCGTAGGGATGGTGCCAGGTTTTCTACTGATGTCACGCTTGGCATTCGGCCAAATAGTTCAATCTTGGTTTCATCAGACCAGAGAATCTTGTTTCTCATGGTATGAGAGTCCCTTAGGTGCCTTTTGACAAACTCCAAGCGGGCTGTCGTGCCTTTTACTGAAGAGTGGCTTCCGTCTGGCCACTCTACCATAAAGGCCTGATTAGTAGAGTGCTGCAGAGATGGTTGGCCTTCTGGAAAGTCTCCACAGAGGAACTCTGGAGCGCTGTCAGTGACCAACAGGTTCTTGGTCACTTCCCTGACCAAGGCCCTTCTCCCCTGATTGCTCTAGGAAGAGTTTTGGTGGTTCCAAACTTATTCCATTTAAGAATGATAGAGGCCACTGTGTTCTTGGAGACCTTCAATGCTGCAGATATTTTTTGGTACCCTTCCCCAGATCTGTGCGTAAACACAATCCTGTCTCTGAGCTCTTCTGACAATTCCTTTGACCTCATGGCTTGGTTTTTGCTCTGACGTGCACTGCCAACTGTGGGACCTTTATATAGACAGGTGTGTGCCTTTCCAAATCATGTCCAATCATTTACATTTACCACAGGTGTACTCCAACAAGTTGTAGAAACATCTCAAGGATGATCAATGGAAACAGGATGCACCTGAGCTCAATTTCGAGTGTCATAGCAAAGGGTCTGAATACTTAAGTAAAAACCTGTTTTCGCTTTGTCATTATGGGGTATTGTGTATAGATTGATGAGGAAAACTATTAATTTAATACTTTTTAGAATAAGGCTGTAACGTAACAAAATGTGGAAAAAGGGAAGGGGTCTGAATACATTCCGAATGCACCGTATATACACCTAAATCCTGGGCATTCATATGGAGTTGGTCCCCCCTTTGCTGCTATAACAGCCTCAACTCTTCTGGGAAAGCTTTCCACTAGATTTTGGAATGTTGCTGCAGGGACTTGCTTCCATTCAGCCACAAGAGCATTAGTGAGGTTGGGCACTGGTCGGGCCAAAGGTGTTCAATGGGGTTGAGGTCAGGGCTCTGTGTAGGCCAGTCAAGTTCTTCCACAGCAATCTCGACAAACCATTTCTGCATGGACAGCGCTTTGTACATGGGGGCATTGTCATGCTGAAACAGGAAAGGGCCTTCCCCTAACTGTTGCCACAAAGTTGGAAGCACAGAATCGTCTAGAATGTCATTGTATGCTGTAGCGTTAAGATTTCCCTTCACTGGAACTAAGGGGCCTAGCCCAAACCATGAAAAACAGCCCCAGACAATTATTCCTCCTCCACCAAACTTTACAGTTGGCACTATGCATTGGGGCAGGTAGCGTTCTCCTGGCATCCGCCAAACCCAGATTTGTCCGTCGGACTGCCAGATAGTTAAGTGTGATTCATCACTCCAGAGAACGTGTTGCCACTGCTCCAGAGTCCAATGGCGGCGAGATTTACACCACTCCAGCCGACCCTTGGCATAGTGCATGGTGATCTTAGGCTTGTGTGCGGCTGCTCGGCCATGGAAACCCTTTTCATGAAGCTCCCGACGAACAGTTGTGCTGACGTTGCTTCCAGAGCTAGTTTGGAACTCGGTAGTGAGTGTTGCAACAGAGGACAGACCATTTTTACGCGCTATGCGGTTCAGCACTCGGCGGTCCCATTTTGTGAGCTTGTGTGGCCTACCACTTTGCGGCTGAGCCGTTGTTGATCCTATACTTTTCCACTTAACAGCACAATAACAGCAATTACAGTTGACCAGGACAGCTCTAGCAGGGCAGAAATGTGTCGAACTGACTTGTTGGAAAGGTAGCATCCTATGACGGTGCCACGTTGAAAGTCACTGAGCTCTTCAGTAAGACCATTCTACTGCCAATGTTTGTCTATGGAGATTTCATGGCTGTGTGCTCGATTCTATACACCTGTCAGCAACCAGTGTGGCTGAAATAGCCGAATCCACTAATTGGAAGGTGTCGACATACTTTTGTTTAAATTTATACTCTGGACATTGCTCATCCTAATATTTCTATATTTCTTAATTCCGTTCTTTTACTTTTAGATTTGTGTGTATTGTTGTGTATTGTCAGATATTACTGCTCTGTTGGAGCTAAGAACACAAGTATTTCGCTATACCCGCAATAACATCAGATAAATATGTTGCACATGTCGGAATATGTTGCACCTGTCCATTATCATGCACCTGTCGAAACAGGTGCAGAGGAAAAAAAGACATGTAATCTGTATGCACTTGAATAGCGAATGGAGGACTCTTTTCCCGCGGTTCATTTTCATGCCAGCCAGGTAGGCTACTCCGGTTGTAAAGCGAAGCAATGTGCTTAAAATTAGGAAAGTTGAGAAATAAATATAGTAGGCCTAGCTTATAGAAAGCTGATGAGAGCCTCCTCCTTTTTAATAGAGGCCATCAAAACTCTGTTTTCTCACGCAATTGTATAGCATAGCCTATAGAAATGTTGCGCAACATGGGCTTATAGGAACACTTATTTCATTCCATGCATCAACCAGCAACGAGGAGCTGGCTCTCGCTGCCCAACAGGTGATCCTATTCTGCTCAAACGCTGAATGCCAGGGCTCTCATGAAGTGTTTGATTTGATTTTCTATTGAATTTGCATTGATGTCAGAGTGATTAGAGGGACAATAGAGCGCTGAGTACCAGGCCATTAGCGACAGGCCATCAGCGACTGGCCGTTAGCACGTTTGGTAGGCTACTAATGACCATCAGCGGCATCAGAGTGCAGTTTTGGAGAAGTCTAGTTACCATGACTCAGTGGTCACCTGGAATTTGACTGCGGTCATGACTCTTGACTCCGGTCATGCCTCGTGAGTGGCAGTAATGCGATCATAAAAGCCCTACGCCAGGGTCGTGGGTTTGATTCCTGCTGGGGCCACTAATGCAAAAATGTTAGCAAAAGCCTCTGCTAAATGGCATGTATTATTATTTAGTATGTCTCTTCCTCCTCTCCTCCTGTTGCTATTCTCTTCTATTTCTCCCTCCCTCCACTCACTCCTCACTCCATGTCTCCCCTCTGTCTCCCTCCCCCCTCTATCTCGTTTTCCATCCCTGTTCCCCTGGAGTCTGGCTAGAAAAGCTTTTGTGGATAATTGATCGGCAGAAGGAGGGGATCGATGCTGCTCGTCTTGACTGAGAGTCTCATTTCCTACCGCCTCTCCCTGTCTCGGGATTTGTCTTTGTCTCGGTCCCTCCTCTCTCTCTCTCTCTAGCTCTCTCACCATCTGTCCACACCCATGTCCTCTCCATGTCTGTGGTAAAGGCATGGATTGCAGAGAGAGGAGAGGAGAAAGAGCTGGATGATGAACACATGAGACCAGAGTTCATTAAGTCATTTTTATGGATCTTGAACTATAGTAGCCCCAGTAGCACACAAAGCACCGGAGCACTTTCTGCAAGCCTGCACTGTTGCTTTATGAGTTTCATTGATAGTGCTTATGATCTGTCTCGGTGGGAGGACACAAGGCCAGGCCACTAATAGTCTCCAATGTGTCTGTTGTTTCATTACTACACAATCTCTGCATAGAACACTGCTTCTAATAGCACTCTCTATTGAAAGTGCTTACACAGAGGCTATAGGGGGACTTGTGTTGTTATTGATGTCTGCGAGTGTGTGTTCTGATTGTGAGTTGGATTGATGAAAAATGTCATGTTGAAAGCATCAGGTGGATATATTGTACTGAATCTCTCCTCTCTCTTCTCTGTCTCTCACTATCTCTTCTCTTTGCTCTCTCTTCGCTCTCTCTCGCTCCCTCGCTCACTCTCTCAGGTATCACTACAGAAGGGATCTACAGGGTGAGTGGGAACAAGTCAGAGATGGAGAGCATGCAGAGGCAGTTTGACCAGGGTGAGTCACCAGAACCTCTCTTTTGACATAAGACATTCAACTCACACACACACACACACCAACAATATGAATTGTCAACAATATGCTATACACAGTTTATTAGGTACACCACCCGTTCACAAAAATAGTTTGCTCCTACAGACAGTGAGTCACGTGGCTGTGGCTTGCTATACAAAGCAGGCAGACAGGCATCGAGGCATTCAGTTACTGTTCGATTGAACGTTAGAATGGGAAAAACGAGTGACCTAAGCGACTTTGAGTGTGGTATGATCATCGGTGCCAGGTGTGCCAGTTCCAGCATCTCAGAAACGGCCGGCCTCCTGGGCTTTTTACCCACGACAGTGTCTAGGGCAAGGTTTCCCAAACTCTGTCCTCGGGACCGCAAGGGGTGCACATTTAGTTTTTTTTGCCCTAGCACTACACAGCTGATTCAAATAATCAACTAATCATCAAGCTTTGATCATTTCAATCAGCTGTGTGGTGTTAGGGCAAAAACCAAGACGTGCACCCCTGCACGCTGGTCTAGGGTTTACCGAAAATGGTGCGACAAACAAAAAACATCCAGTCAGTGACAGTCCTGTGGGTGAAAACAGCTCGTTAATGATAGGTCGAAGGAGAATGGTAAGAACCGTGCAAGTAACAGGCGGGCCACAGGCAAATAACGGCACAGTACAACAGTGGTGTGCAGAACAGCATTTCATAATGCACAACTCATCGATCCTTGTCACGAATGGGCTATTGCAGCAGACAACCAAACCGGGTTCCACTCCTATCAGCTAAAAACAAGAAGAAGCGACTGCAGTGGGCACGTGATCACAAACACTGGACAATTGAGGAGTGGAAAAACATTGCCTGGTCAGATTGAGTGTTATTGTTGTAGGGTTGTCAGACCCCATGCCACCCATGGTCGGTGCCAATGTACACTTACTGACCTATGCACATACAGGCACACACAAACTCACCAATACACAGAAACATACTCACATACCTAGGCACAAACAGGCCATAGAGGTGCAGTGTTAGTGTGTTGTATCTGTCCAGAAGCCTGTTGTCGAATGGATTCACCTAATTAACCTGGGAGCATCTGTATAATTGATATAAAGGAAGGAGAGGCCTTCCTCACACTGTAGCGTAGCTTCTGTGTGTGTGTGTGTGTGTGTGTGTGTCCTGTGTGTGTGTCCATGCGTATGTGTGGTGTGGGCCGTTAATTACCTCCAGATTGGTTTGGTTAATGAAGTGTGTGTGTGTGTGTGTGAGGCTGAATCCAGCTGAGGTAATCAGAAGTGAAGTCCTGTGTCCAGTCGAACAGTACCCTAAACCAAGGTGACAATACAATTACACATGAAATTACAGCATAGGTAGACCATAGCCATAAATCAGCTATCACCTAGCCACCCCTTACAGCACAGGTAACCCATAGCGATAGAACCACACACCAAGTTCAGATACAACAGCCGAGACGAGACGATTTTATGCAGTTTTAGAATGAAGTTTTCTTGATCTGATCTGACCTGTCTATTTTTAGAACTTCTCATTTCGGCTGTTGGAGTTTCCAAGGTTCAACATGTCAAATCTTAGCTAAAGATGAGACGGATCCGAGTTGTATCGAGTCATTGTAAAGATTCACTGTTACCGTGGAAACAGTCTCAACTGCCCATCTCGTCGTCTTGATCTGAATGCCCTGTCTTTAGTCAGCTGTTCTTCAACACAGAATTCTAAAACTGGCTAGTTTTGTCTCGTCTCTCCTTATGTCGGCTACTGTATCTAAACCGGGCTTTAGGATCACTGAGATCTGGAGCCTGGTCTGAAAACAGGTCTGAACCGGATAGCACTAGGCATTACTTGGTGAGAACTGACTTGGGACCAGTGTTATCACTGAAGCTGGTCTGTTATGTACACAACAGGTCCTATTTTCCTCCACTCTCTCTTTTCCATCTCCTTTTCATCCTTCCTCACTATCCCCTCTCCCTCACCATCACTATCTGTCTAACTCTCTTCCACTGTCACTCCTCCCCCTTTCTATCCCCCCCCCCCCTTTCTCCCCCCCCCCCCCCCCCCCCCCCCGGTCACCCTGCCTCTCTTCCTCTATATTTGTCATAGATAGGAGAGAGTCATCAGATAAGGGTTTTTAAAAGTCTATATTTCCTTATCCTTCTCTCCTCCCCTCCTTCACCCCCTTCCTTCTCTCCTCCCCTCCTTCACCCCCTTCCTTCTCTCACACTCTTTCTGTGTTTTGAACAACAAGCCTGTGTCAGTGGGGCAGGCGTCGCCTGTGATTACTCTTGGTTTATAGTTTTAATCAGCAGTTGTGCTTCTGGTGCTGCTAACCTCGTTCCCAATCTCTCCCATGTGGTCCCTTATACTGAGCTGCCACACTGAATAAGAGATACTCACTGAGGAGCTGGAGCCAATTGGGTGCAGTTCCTTCTAACAGGATAAGCAGTGTTCTCTAAGATATACAGAACTTTATTGTATGCTGGTGTTGTGGATTGTTTATTCAGGTATTTTAGTCTATCACCAGGTGGGGTGATACTATAGTAGTAAAACAAATGAGTTTAAGGCAGACCTTTTGTGTGTGTGTGTGTATGTGTGTGTACGTGTCTGTTTCATATTATTGTCTCTTGTAGATCATGTCCTAAATCAGGTGTCTCTTCCATGTCTTATTCTAATGAATCCCTCTCTCTCTATCTCTCTCTGTCTGTCTCTCTCTCTCTCCGTCGCTCTCTGTCTCCCTGCTAGACCATAACCTGGACCTGGTGGAGAAGGACTTCACTATCAACACGGTGGCCGGGGCCATGAAGGCCTTTTTCTCTGAGCTGCCTGAGCCCCTGGTGCCCTACAGCCATCAGATCGAACTGGTGGAGGCCTTCAGTAAGACATGGGCCTGGGGAGAGGGGACAGAGTGGGCTGGGCTGGGGAGAGGGTGGCAGGGAAAGGGGGGACTGGGGATAGGGTATCTGGGGCTGGGGAGAGGGTGGCAGGGAAAGGGGGACTGGGGATAGGGTATCTGGGGCTGGGGAGAGGGTGGCAGGGAAAGGGGGACTGGGGATAGGGTATCTGGGGCTGGGGAGAGGGTGGCAGGGAAAGGGGGACTGGGGATAGGGTATCTGGGGCTGGGGAGAGAATGGATTAGGGTTGTCCTTGCTCAACCTATTTGGTCTCTATGAAGAAACCAGTGGCAGTCAGTGAGGGAGGAAACGTTTCTTTTTTTTTTTGGAGCATGGCCTTATTACAGCATATTGGATGACTGTCATTCATATTCCATTCACCCAGCTCAGTGTAACATTGATAGGTTTAAGCTACTACATGATCCTCCAATTTTCCCTATACCCATCATGAGGTTCCTACAACCTATGAATGAAAGTTTGCAATGTAGGTGCACAGGTCAAGAGAAATTTGAGTAATCAAGGTAACAGACATTGACACATTCAATAATGCCTTGCACACTCTTGCCTGCATCTAGCTGATCTAGTGTGTAAACATTAGTCCAACAGTTGCAAATGAGAGTTTCTATTGGACATATTCCGGTGCGTTTATCCCAGTTTTGTTCCGTTTGCTTCCATCTAAGAATTTTTTTCAACAGAATCAGCGGAATGAATACACCCCTGATCACACACAAACACAGTTCACTTTCATAGCAGTCACATACAAACAGCATGATCACTTTGCTCGTTGTATATATAATTCCTTCTTGCAACTATAGTATCTACTCGCTCTCCTCCTCTCACCGTTTCCCTTCGCTTGTGGACTTCCGTGCGCAACACACCAGCTGTCTGTGACCAGACAAAAAAAAACGTTCCAAGCCAAACCTTCATATCACAACCGCTAACCGCTCCACACAGCCTACATTGTTGTCACCATATTAACGTCATGGTCAACATAGCTAATGGAACTAACGCGTTAGTAAACCCGCTACAATCATGCAGTACAGTCAGCATTGTCGTGGAGATTTAAGTTGTAGCGTTGCGGCCCAGAGACTTACCTCTACTCCGGAGGGCGGCCGTCACTCAGTGAGCGGATTGTGTGTGTGTGTGTGAGGCCCCTGAGCCGTGACAAAACAATGATAAAACCCTGCGGCCTGCAGCAGGAGAGAGACACTACACACACCGTTTAAAGAGTAGTTTTAAAAGAAACACTTACAGGATGGATTGCAGAACTCTGTTTGTGACTTAGCAGACTGCAGAAGAGGTGAACATGACAGGGTTTGAAGAAGTAGCTGGATAATGTGAAATGCTGTGCGTGTGAGTGAATGAGTGACTCCATCTGCCTCGCTCACACGGAGACACACAAGACTGGCTGTGTTGGAGTGCTGATATCAGTTTATTTGACTCACTCCTACCATTGGGCTCAGCACACCCAGAGGACCTGTGTGTGTTCGTGTGTGTGGGTTTATAACTGGGTGTGATCACTGCTATGCTTTGTTAAGTCATCTCTGAGTCTTAGCTGTGATTACAGTTTGTGTCAGTGTGTGCCATGGTTCCCCCTCCCCCGTCCCTGCACGTGTGTGGCCTTTGTCTGGTTGTGTGTGTGTGTGTGTGCGTCCGCCTGTGTGTGTTTGTGTGCATGCGTGTGCTTTCATTCTTTCTCTAACCTCCTGTCTCCTGTCGCCCAATCAGAGATCAACGATCGGGATCAGCGGGTTCACGCCATGAAGGACATCCTGCGCCGCTTCCCCAGGGAAAACTACGACGTCTTCAAATACGTCATCAACCACTTGAACAAGTGAGTGGCTCAGTGACAGGGCTGTGACAGCCATGCTGACTACAGTAACAGTCATCCACCCTGCAACCTTTGACCTTCCACCCTGTCAGCTACACCCCTGGCTAAATTGAGTCCGCTTTAAATTCAGTCAATTGAGTCATAGCACAAACACTGCAGTTTAGATTTGTAGATCGTTACTTTATGATTTCTTGAACAACTACATTTGTTTTCTCTCTCTCTCTCTCTCTCTCTCTCTCTCTCTCTCTCTCTCTCTCTCTCTCTCTCTCTCTTAACCCTCTTTTTCTCCCTCCCTCCCTCAGGGTGAGCCAGAATAACCGTTTGAACCTGATGACCAGTGAGAATCTGTCCATCTGTTTCTGGCCCACTCTAATGCGGCCCGACTTCACCACCATGGATGCCCTGACAGCCACGCGAACCTACCAGACAATCATCGAGTCCTTCATCCACCAGTGTGCTTTCTTCTTCTACAATCAGCCCCTGTCTGACACCCTTAGCGGGCACGCCTCCCCCACAGCAACCCTCTCCTCCCACGGGGTAACCTCGGCCTACTCCTCCTTGGCCTACAACTCTCCTTCCCTCACACCCGCCCCGGCCCCTTACGTTATGCCCACCACGCCGCCCGTCATCCCCCACTACGGGCCGCCCCATACACAGATCCAGCAGTCCCCGCCCCACACCCCCCAGTCCCCCATCCAGGCACTGTTGCCCCCCCTGCACCCCCATCACCCGCCCACGGAACAACACATGCTGTGAACCAGTGATGGAAGGAAAGAGAGAGATTAGAGAGAGAGATGGAAAGAGTTTGAGATTCAGAGGGAGGTATGAGGGAGCGGTGAGAGAACAACGTAAGTGGAAGAGATTTTGAAGGGGTGGTTAGAAATATGGAGGGAACGAGAGGAGAGAGTTTGAGAGACAGGGAAAGCAAAAGAGAAGATGAGTAAGATGAAGTACATATAGGGAAAAACTGTTGGGAGAGGGGGTTATCCAACCCCCATTTGTTAAAGACCTACACACACAGACACACTACACACGGGAGGGGGTGGAAAGAGGAACTTTTGAGCCACTAGTACAACATGTCCTCCCGTACCACTATAGTCTCTTGACTCTTCTCTCTCTACCACTTATTTTGCCCCCTTCTCCCCCCACCCCATCCAACACACAAACACACACAAACACCATGTGTCATGTCCCTCCCCAACCATAAGGGACCTTAGAACTGCTGACTGTAGCCAGGCAGGGTATCTGTGGGGGAAGTGTGGGAGGGACATGAACTATATGGACCTCCTAGCTGGACTCTAAAACCACTTCCCAGCGCCCCACCTTACTCACCCCACCACTCCTAACTGCAAAAGGGCTGTGGATTGCCAGCGACTGCCCTGTCCCCCCAGGTTGATCCTGGGTCCAGGTGGAGGGAGGACCTGACCAGTAGGTTCTCTATGTTTATTTGACAACTGTTACCAGGAAATGGACTAGAGGCAGGCTTCACCTCTCCCCCATGGACTAGCTTCCACTTCAATAGACTCATTCCTAAACCCCCACCCCTCCGCTTCAAGGTCTGCTACAACCAGAGCTAACGCCAAGAACAAAAGTCTCAACTAACTGGATATGCTGGGAGGCTGGAGCACAGAACTTTGGGTGCTCTCACACCCTCTGCATCTTGGGAGAGCTCCTCCATTCCTCTCTCTCTCTTCTCTGACCCCATGCCCCCGAGCCTCCAGGCAACGCTGGAAGACTGTTGTTTTTCTTTTGATTAAAGAAGATATCTTTACACCCTGTTTCTTCCTGATGTTTAATGTTGTTCCACCTTTCCTCTCTCAGTCCCCCCTATGCTTCCATTTAGATGTTCAAACTGTGGATCAGTTTTGGAGAGTGTTCCGTTGATGACTGACCAATCAGAATGCACTCTCGCACAGCAAGTCCCTCCCATCAGATGTCCATGCTTACTTCTCATTGGCCCTTGTGCTTTCTGTGAAGGGTGGGAATAACTGTCAGGGAGAGGTAGGAGGGGCTGGGATATGGATTAGGATTGGGATTTGGAAGGGGTGGGATTCAGGGATGCACTTTACGGACTCTGAAAAGCATTTAGGCTCTTAGACACGGAATGCCGAGAGGAACAGCCATAACGATTCCCATAAGGATCCCAGGAGGCATTGGGAAGTGGTGGCAGGGAATTCATACTTCCTCCTGTTACCCATGAAGGGTTTGGAAGCCTGGAGAGACATGGGGGCATGACCTTTGTGTGTGTGTGTGTGTGCGCGCGTGTTTGTGTTTGTCTGCGTACATGTGTGCACATGCTTCTAATATGGTATAGAGCGGGAGAATCATTAGTGTAGAGCTCTCTGAAGTTTATTGAGATTGAGAGACTGCAGAGCACTTTTGGGATCCTCCTTAGTGAGAAGTGCGACATAACACTTTCTCACCACGACTAATGCATTGTGAAGTCATGTAGCCACCTCTCTGAGAACACACCATTGCCATCTGGTGGAAAACATAGTTACTGCATCTATGACCTCACCCACCACTGCATGGGCGGAACACAATTCTCCCCCCCTTGGGTGTAACATTAGATCTTTCTACATGCGTAATCCCGCATATTTACCTATTGAATGTCAAGTCAAATGGACATATTGAGCCCAATAGGAATTATTTGTATATAACATAGATGGAGAGTCTATACCACGAAAGCCATATGAACTGCATTGAGATTAGCCTGTGGATGATGATCATATCTGTTGTGTTGCTAGGCTGCCAGCACTTTGCTACAGATATATACTCTCCAGAGTGTGGTGTTGAAGGTGTGTATGACAACATAGATGTTCATGTCAGCTGTCCATGATGCAGACAGTCCAGTGACTAGTCTAGTGTCCAGCTGTGCTCTGCTCTGCTAGTTGGCCAGTATGTGGTGATGTGTAGTCATGTGTTTTTGTACTGAGGCTGGCTCAGGATAGCTGTTCAGATCCATTCAGCTGAGTATGACCGGGATGGACACAAAGGAAAGGAGATGACGAAGCTAGTTTAGAGTATAGAAACGCAGCCATTGGTGTTGATAGTCCCTCAATGCCATCCTGTGTTTATTGGTGTCCCACTTCCTGGTTGGCACCACTTGGTACCCCTGCCCTCTTTTGACATGGCACCGTTCCCTGGTCCAGAGAGATGCTCAGAGATGGAGCAGAACAGACCGTCTATTCATCTGTGTTGATGACTGCGGAATTCCATGGTTCTGTCTGTGGTTGTCATAGAAACCTGTTTGATCGCTAGAGTGTGTGCGCGTGAGTGTGTGTGTGTGTGTGTGTGTGTGTGCACGCACACATTAGAAAGAGTGAAACCAAGGTCATGTCATTTGTTTCATTTAGACCCTCAGCTTTACACACTCATGCCTGTCTCCACGTCTCTCCAGTTCCCATTGTCTTGACTGACAGACCTCCCTTCCAATCACTGGAGTTATACCCTGACCCAATGACCTATCAGTATACATTACCTATATGACATGTTTGTTTGTCTGTGTTAGGGACTAATGTCATTTGAGCTGTCAACGGTAGCCAGACATCAGTGTAACTCAACCCTAAAGAAAGACCATGTCGTTTACAGTGGAGAATGCATTTATCCTCACGGTCATTGCCCCACTTGATGTAAGCTGGACCCGACCACAGTTATCCTCTTCGTTAACTATAGGTTTACTTTTCACAGATGGAGAGAAAGTGAGAGAATGAGAGAGCGGTGAATGGGATCATTATTTGGGAGATGTAGGGAGGAAAGGGCAAACTGGTACTTTTGAATGCCGGCCAGTGGCATTCCCTGTGTATATCAATGTGTTAATACTGAACAGACTGTGAGGCAGCCAAAGACGGCAAAAAAGGGGGAGAGAGGAAGTAAAGCGACGAATGGGGAAAAAACTATCGTATAAAAAATGTGACTCTGGTTCTGCGATCTTGATGCGTCGCTTTTCTTTTCTTTTCTTTTTCTTTGCAACAATGGTGACCGATGGTCTGTTAAGTTAAATTGAGAAACAAGCAAACTATATTCAAATGGTTGTTTATTTTTATGTTAGGGGGTCTAACACTTTGCCCTTTTTGGTGATAGAATTGTTTTTCTTTTTTCTTTTAATAATACAAAAAACTAAACGTTTTTTAAAAATTTTGTGAACGGTGAAGAGACCAGCCCAGTATAGTGCATGATTTTTGCCCAGGCAAGGGAGGGGGCTCGACCACTCTCAGTATTTAAGAGAAGATTAAAAAAACAATGAAATAATGGAGAAAAAAAATAACCTGTATAAAAGATAAAATGAAGTAAACTGAAAAAATACATCAACACAAAAAAATGCTGTCATTATTTGCTAAGAGTATGGTAATTTGTCTCAATAGGAATGGTGTATACAGCAAGGCCTTACGTGACCTGTATTATAGTTAATAAATCAATCTTGTAAAACCTGCCTCCTGTCGTTCTGTGCAAACCCACCGACTCATATCTCCTGGCACACCACACACAGCTCTGCGTATACATGTTGTATTATCAGTTTGTACTGTGAGAATAGGTGTCAAAGATTCAACTGAATTCATAAATATGGCCATATTTCACTGACTGGAAATGAATGAATGAAAGGAATGAATACAACTTATTTCCACAGAAAGATCAGCTACTCCTGGAATGAAATGGATAAAACTGCCCGATGTCGAGTTTGCTGGAGAGGCCGGCGTCATTAATGGCCTATGCTTCTCATGCTGTACCTTTCTACAGTTGACAGGTGTTTCTAATCATTATATTCTAAAAAGACAGAGTTAACTTCTAGTGTAGTCAAGTGACTTTTCCCAATTAAAACTACCTAGAACACTAGAATAGCTTTACTAGAGTAACGATTTGCTACATTTTACTTTAATCTCTGACTGTCGCTTCCAGTGGTGTAAAGTACTTATGTCATTTTTATGGGTATCTGTACTTTACTATTTATATGTTTGACAACTTTTCTACATTCCTAAAGAAAATAATGTACTTTTTACTCCATACCTTTTCCCCGACACCCAAAAGTACTCGTTACATTTTGAATGCTTAGCAGGACAGGAAAATGGTCCAATTCACGCACTTATCAAGAGAATATCCCTGGTCATCCCTACTGCCTCTGATCTGACGTACTCACTAAACACACATGCTTAGTTTGTAAATGATGTCTGCGTGCTGGAGTGCGCCCCTGTATCCGTACATTTATAAAAAATAGAAAATAGTGCTGTCTGGTTTGCTTAATAGAAGGAATTTTAAATGATTTATACTCTTACTTTTGATACTTAACTATATTTTAGCAATTACATTTAGTTTTGATACTTAAGTATATTTAAAACAAAATAATTTTTCATTTACATTTTAGTCATTTAGCAGACGCCCTTATCCAGAGCGACCCACAGTTAGTGAGCGCATACACCTTCATACAAGTACATTATAAAGCAAAGTGTGGGAAATATAAAAAATAATAAAGCTTACTCATTCACCCATATGACTTATATAAAATACTATCAACTGGTTACAGTGTGAAGAAAATGCTAGCTAACCTATTCACTATTCAGACAATGTAGGCCTACAGTTGAAAATGTATTGATGGGAACTACGTATGAACCTGGCTTGAATGTTTTGTACAGTTGAAATAGGTCATTGTCAGTGTTTACCCTTAGCTCGTTCTGTTGAGTGCCTTAGCAGTGGTATGCTTACTCAAGTAGTATTTTACTGGGTGACTTTCACTTTTACTTGAGTCATTTTCTATTACGTTA